ATAATCCGTAAAGTGTTACAGAATGAAATATTCTATCATCTGATGACAGAATAAACACTCGTGGCGACATCTCTGTTTTTAATATCTAACAAATTTTAGACCGATCCAACCTCACTTTCTTCTAATTAAATTATTTTTCTATTGTATTTTTTGGAAACGTAGAAAAAGTATAGTAGTATAAAAATAAATTTACCTTCCTCATTATTTATTTCAAATTTAAAATTAATTTTCTAACCAAACTTCTTTTTCCTTCATAGCATGAAGTTCATACGTCAACAACCAAGGCCATATTTAAAACATTTTATTGCGTTTTATTCTACAGGACCGGCTTTAAATTTTATTTTACAAAATTTCCATTTTATAAAAAAGATCAAAGCTGAGAAAATTGTTAAAAAATAATGAAATTTTATGATTTCTATGACAAAATGTGAATTTTATGACATTTTAGGACAATTTAGCCAATTTTATGATATTTAAAAATTTTATGACAAACGGGAACCCTGTTAATATAAACTGCGCACCACTCAATGTGTCGCGACCAAAAAGTTCGTCCTTTTTCAAAACGACATAACTTTTTTGTTTCTTAAACGATTTAATTTTGGTCTGTGATGTCTGCTAGCCCCATCCTCTGGCAATTCATGCTATAGATATGAAGCTCACGGTTCTTCAAGTAAACTTCGTACAGGGTGAAAAATTTCAATAACTTCATCCAAGCCCCGTTTGAAAAAAGAAATATTTTTTAAATAGAAAAAAAGTTAGTTTTTCCTGTCGCCTCATCCGCCTCCAGGCCCCCCTATTTGAGATAATTCAAATTAAAGTGGTGCAATTTATTATCTACTATAATTTATCGACAAATTTAAAATTTTATTTAAAAAATCCAATTATTACAGATTTTATTCGATTTTAAATTTTTATTATTTATTTTATTAAAATAAAAAAATATTTAAAATGGTATAAAACCTCTAATATTTGGATTTTTTAAATCAAATTTTAAATTTGTCGATAAATTATAGTAGATAATAAATTGCACCACTTTAATTTGAATTATCTCAAATAGGGGGGCCTGGAGGCGGGTGAGGCGACAGGAAAAACTAACTTTTTTTCGCAAACTTCAATTTAAATTCTGTTTGCGCCGAACTTGTCTATTTAATGTCATTATAAACTATTATAAATTTGGTGTGGGTCCCATGTCTAATAACTGAAATATTGGTATACCCAAAATCCACCAGCCGCCACTGCCTGACTGTGATTCAGTTGTCAAATTTAAGTTTCAGATAAAACCAAAATCACCAAGAATCAAAACTAGAAAACAATTCCCGGCTGTTAATGTGTATTGCCTACAAAAAAGCCTTAAATATACTCTTTTGGAATAAAAATCATATTTTCGTTGCTAAGATTCCAATTCAAAAAATTTAAAAAACGTTTTAAGGTACGATATAATACTTCATTATTTCAACGTAAAAAAGAGAAAAAAATTATTTTTTTACAAACGGGACTTGGATGAAGTTATTGAAATTTTTCACCGTTTAACATATCCCCCTGTAGGAAAATTACTTGAAGAACCGTGAGCTTCATATCTATAGCATGAATTGCCAGAGGATGAGGCTAGCAGACAACACAGACCAAAATAGTTCAAGAAACTAAAAAGTTATGTCGTTTTGAAAAAGAACGAACTTTTTGGTCGCGACACATTGAGTGGTGCGCAGTTTATATAACTTAGGTTTTGGCCAGGAGTTTGCGATTTTAGACCATTGTGGGACGCCAAAATCTAAACCAAAAATAACTTAAGCACGTTCAAACTAATAAATAAACACTCGGCGGTTACAAAGCTTGTTTACAAAGGCCATAAATTAAGTACCTAACCAAAGTGGCCTCCTCCTTAAAGAACGTATAATCTCTTAGACAAACGCACATTGTGGTGAAGTAAACTGTGTGCATCGGTTCCTAATTTCAGCAAATAAACAAAGACTGGCAAATATGGCTGAATCTTCTTTGAACAGGGAACGGTTTTCGCACAGTGGGGCTAATCGTGTACAGCGTTTCCCGAAGTTTCAGAACAGTAAATTTCAGCAGATTCAAACGCAGACGAACAAAAAGTACCTAAAGAAACAAGATAGGGCCCTACAGCGTATTAACCAGCCTATTAATTTTTCTTTAAAATTTGCTCAATATATTAACTAAACATATTAATAGGATTTTATGGGTAGGTCAGGCGGACTTCGTCAGTGCCTGAGCACAATTTCGCGCGAGCGGCACTGATATACTTATGAAACCCTATACTTTTACTTTAATATAAAAACGCTTGGACAAATTTTAAAAGAAAATTTATAGAACATTAAAATTAAAAATATATAATTTAATTACAAACTTTGAATCTGACATTTTCGGTGCATCAGCTAACGTTCAGAGCGCTTTATTAATTAATACAACGCGTTGAGTCTTTTTAAAAGTGCCACGATACGAATTGACGATTTCATGTAATTGTTACGATAAAACTTATAATATAATATTCTATATATACAGGGTGTCCCAGAATATGTGGGCAATCTCCCGGATTTAGATATAACACGTAAAAATAATATGACAAGTTCCTATATATTCTTTTTCCTATGATAGGTAAATGTCAAAAAAAAAACTTTGCAAAAAAAAATAAATGTAAAAACCCTATTGTACAAAAACATTTTTTTTTCTCGTAAACAGTACATTTTATTGATGTCAATCAAGATTACCTTTTTTTAGTTTAAGGTTTAAGCTGACTAAAAATATTATTGTTTGCCTTTGTAGTACAGGGTGTTAAAAAAATAGCATTACTCTGTTAGAGCTAGTCCGTCCCTGGCAAACTAAATAAACCAAATGTGATTGAAAGTGACCATTTTAAGGAAACTTTCCTAGTAAACAATATATTTAAAAATTATTCAATTCCACCTTGTAGTACAAAAGTTATTAAAAAAAAACGATTTCCAGGGGCGTCCGTTTTGGGCCAGCATCTCCGTAGGGGGGCCGTAGGAAAAAAAATTTATAGAAACTTGTCATATTATTTTTATGTGTAATATCTAAATGCGGGAGATTGCCCACATATTCTGGGACACCCCGTATAAAAATGAATTGCCGTGCGTTAGTCATAGATGACCGAAGGCGTTAGTCCTGCAAAAACTCGGAAATGGCTCAACCGATTTAAATATTTTTTTGTTTTGTTCGCCTTAATACAGGGGTGATTTAAATAAAAAATACATTAGGAAAAACCGAAAGGAACAGCCGGAAAATCGAAAAAATCGAAATTCGTACAACTTTGGATTAATTTGAATAGATGGCGTTCGTAGCTGCGCTTAAAATTAAATGAAAATACATTTAATAACCAAACTAAACTTAAAAAGGTTCATAAGGATTAATAATCGCTTATAAAGAATTTTAGGTGGAACGAAGTTTACCGGGTCATCTAGTATGTTGGTTTATTTAATTTACTTACTAAATAATCTAAAGTATTACCATAAAATTCAAGAAAAAATTAAAAAAAGTTATGAAGTTACTGAGTATAAATACAGGTACCTAATGGCATGCTAAAATTATCTATTTGTATTTTTAAATAAATTATTTGTAAATTTTCGTAAAATAAATGAGCGAATTTTGTATTGAAATATTTGAAAATTTTAGTGGGAAAATTCTATTCTTGTTGAAAATGTTTTATATTTTTCTTAAAAACTTAAAAAACGGTTAAAAACCCCTGAAAAAGAACAACAAACGAGTGTTTTTTAACCCAAAAGTCCAACTTTAACATTTGTATACAAATAATTAAGGTTATTTATCTGTCACTTAAACGCTAATTTCGTCAAATTTTCTGAAAATAATACATATTATGTATTTTTTGTGTATAGAGGTCTTAATTTAGAATAAAACTGGGAACTAGAGGACAAAAATGTCATTTGTTAATCAAATTTTAAGCATAAATCAAAAAATACATTTTTCCTCAGATTGGGCTTTGTTAGTGAGATATTTCAATTTATTATATTATATTATATTAGAAAAAAACAATAACCAATGCTATTAGCAAGTTGCTAACAAAGCTTGATCTGGTAAAAAATATTCTTTGTTAGGTATGCTTAGAATTCGGTTTTACATGAAATTTTTATTTTTGTCCTCTAGTTACTAGTATATTGTATTATTTTCAGAAAATAAGAAATTTGTTAACATATTATTTTGTTTTTTATTTCTACCCTAGGCATATTTTTTATGATGAGCAGTTAGTGTATAAATGAGTAATATCTAAAAAAACAAAAATTTTTTTTTAGTCATAGAAAAACTATGGTAGACCAAGTATAATACATTTACATAGGTATTAAACATAAATGTCATTGTTATGAATAATTTTAAATGAGTTATCTAAAATACCATAAAATGATCTAAGTACCATACTATCTATGCATGCGTTAATTTTTATGAATTTTCTGCTTAGCAACAGGAATATTGAACTCATTATTCACATTGTTAGGAATCAGTGATTGACTTATTTCAATATTCACTGTAATTTAAAGCATAGAAAAGGTGAATTCTCTCTGATTTAAACAAATCGGGTTTTAAACAGATTTTTTTTATACGAGGGGCGACTATAATGATCATTAAAATCGGGAGTAAGTGAGGTTATAATAAATTTTGTTATTAAGGACCCTTCATAATGTTGGTTGAAGGGTCTCTAATAAAAATAACTTAATTGGAGAAAAAAAAATAGTATTAGATAATAATATACTATTATAAGTGCATGTCCCTTGGATTTTCTTTTTTTAATATTTGTCAAAATTGTCATAATAATTTTGGGTGGTCCATTTGAAAAATGGATGCAGAAAAAGCAGTCCTCATTACTTTAAGTATAATTTTTACAGTATGGGTATGTAGTGACCTAATGGAAGCATGTGCTTGTTGCAAACCCAAAAAAAGATGTGCAACATTTAACAACATTAACAAGAAAGAATTTGATAAAATAAATAAATTATGATAAGAAATCTTACCCCATTCCTTGAAAGCTTTTTCTGCTGCAACTACATCTCCTCTGGCAAGTTGAACTAACACTAAAGCAACAACTAGTCTACCAGTAGCTTGATAAGATTCATTTTCTTGGTGTAATCCTAATTCACGTCTAATAGCATCAGCTGCCAAGTCATACCTTTAATTAAAATACTTAGTTATGTATAAAGTAATAAAATAGACTCTAAAGATCTTTTTCTGTTATTTACAAAAAGTATTTTTTTTATTATAAAAATAGAAACGTACTGTTGAAGCTTGACATAAATTCTGGCTACTTTACTAACATATTCAGCTGCCTGTCTTGAGCTATCCTGAACCTAAAAAATATCAAACTAGTATAAAATTATCAAATTAAAAAAGAAAAATTACAGTGGAAATTTCAGCTGCATGCTGAAATAGTTTCAATGCCTCTTCAGGGTTTTGTGATTCTAATATTTTAGCTGCCTTATCTAAAGAGGCACATGCTGATTCTGCACTGCCATGGCTTTGAAACATATTGGCAGCCCGTTCAGCATACTTGTAAATATCCCGAAAATCACCAACTTCCTTGCACACCAAAATTGTTTGATCCAAAGCTTTGGCAGCATAAAATAACCTGTTTAAAGTTAAGGCAAATTTTTAAATAACTTGCTAAAATAATATAGGTACCACTTTTCACCATTTTTAAATTGGCCATAGTCTTATAGTAAAATAATAGTATTTTAATTAAAAAGGATACGCTCTATTTTGTTTGTGACATTCCACAGCTTTTAGCAAACAATCCTTGCATTGATCAAATGACTTTGCGTTTCGGAAACATGTAGCTAAAAAATAGTCACTTACTAACAAAACTAAACACAATTTCTTTCACAAACCTGCTTTATTGTATTCATCTGCAGCATTATCATAGTCAGGTCGCCATTTCAAAAGCCCTGTTTTTAAACTAAAATCAATTAATTTAATTTATTTTAGCCTCAAATATTTGTCACTGATTTACCTTTTTTCCGCACATTTTATGTGCTCTAAAGCTTCCTCTATCTTTTTATTTCCGGACATTTTTTGCCTTTTATTATACAGATGATTTTGACAGTATCTGCATTTGTGGGAGGGGCAAATCGAGGTCAAGAAGTCCCAGAAATGTCATGATTATAATCATTGTTGCCAACTCTTTGTCAACCGTATAGTATACTATAAGGTTTGTTCATACAAGAGTCCCAAACTCTACAGCCACTGCCCTCGGTGGTGTAGTGGTCAGCGCTACGGAAAGCTTTAATAGATAGTTCAGTAGCTGGATATTGTCACAGTAGTGCGAAATTTCTAACAATTTATTGTGTTGCCCAAGCACGTTTTGTGGTAGTTTTGTCTTTTTTTTCTTAAATCCCAAAATTAAGTATTGCATTTATTTATTAGTTAAACAAATGACAAGCGCAATTATTCTGTTATAATCTAATGTGTTTACAAAACCAAAAGAGTTTGATTAGTATGCTGTTTTTACTATGTTAGTGTTTTAATGATTTATTGAGTTTATATTCTGTGTGTCAAATGTTTATTATTGGTCTCGTTTGGGTTCCATGCCTTACGCATTTGTTGTTGACAGATTTATTGTCCTACACAGCTTTGGTGTATCACCGCGATAGTTCGATTGGGAAGTGTTGTTTTTTTGTTGTTTGTCATTTTTTTTATGGTATTTGGTTAGTATTGTCTTTCTAATGTTTCTATTGTTACTGATGTTTATTGTTTTTTTTAGAATTTAAGCAGTGTGCCTTTCTTAGGGTTTTAAAGATATCTGTCGTGTTTAATTATCAATTTTTTTTTTGCGGATGGCCCCTTTCCCTCTTATTTGACCTATTTTGTTTGTCTAGTGAAAAGCGTCCAATGACAGGTGGTATACCTATAGGACCAGAAGCTGAAACTTGTCACTTAACACTTCACTCTTTATTGACCGTTACACTATTTTAGTTTGCACTTTATGAAAATTGTTTGTTTCACTATAATTGGTTTGCACTTTTAAAAATTATTTGTTGGTTTTAAACTTTAAACTTTTACGTTTTAAGATCTCTCGCTGCTGCATTGCGTCATGCCTTGTCAAGTGCTGGAACCTTACTGAATCCATTTAGGTTAGAGGTGGGAAACTATCGATAAATTTTACTATCGATAGTTCGATGCAACCTAAGCAAAAACTATCGATATATCGATACTATCGAAAAAAGAAATTCTGCATCAAAATTAGGGACCATTTATTTAAAAAGTAATTTATTAGCGCCTATAAAAATTTAAATATTTACATTATTTGACTTAATTAGTGACTAAATAAAAAACGGTACAAATTCAGTGACATAACCATGGAGCCCACACAAGGAGCCCAAAATTGGCAAAACCTGCCCTGTAAATCGCAAAAATTAAGTCTTTTTTCTTTTTTCACTACCAGCGGCGCTGATTTTCTATGCGCATTGACGTCTTCTGTTTGGTAGCGTTTCGGTACAAATCAAAAAATCACACCAGCGCCCTTTTATCTTAGGAATATTTTTGTATACATGAAGTTCGGACTCCTTGTGTAGGCTTCATGGACATAACCTTCCTCTCAAATTTTGACAAATGACATGCATATAACCATTGACTCACAGATCACAGCTCTTGCATAGAAATAATAGTAGTATTATTTCTATGAGCTGTTCTAGAGAATTGTCTGTCAATCCAGTGTTGCCAACCTGGATTTTTGTCGGGAAATCTATAAAATTTCGTCTAAAGATTTAACAAAAACTATCGATAGTATTTATAAAACTATCGATAATGCGATAGTGTGGCTTTCGTTCGAAAACTATCGATACATCGATATTTGCATTCGATAGTTTCCCACCTCTAATTTAGGTATACAACACAGATCACAGAGATTGGTATACAATACATTGTATAATAATTTGTGTTTGTTCCACTGTGTAATCCTCTAATTGGGCTTGGTGGCCCCAAGCCCAATTACAGGATTACCAAGTTGGTGCCTGTTAAAAGCACATACAAAAATTTAGGACTTTGAGCTGCCCAAAGACCTATTGCGCAGGCGCATTTTGGGATTCTGGTTGGAACAAACCTATTAAAAATTCTACCAAAAATTCTAGTCTAGAATCCTAAATCAGCTAAACAAATCCATAACTTATAGGATTATTTATACCACGAAAACTCGTCTTCGTAATTTATACAAAAATAAATCAGACAATTATTACAATTAATACTAATTGTAGATATTGGCAACACTGATTATAATCCATTTAATGCTAATCTGGCAACGTTGTAACCTACATAATACATTTGTATTGACCATATGCAAGGAATGCGGTCGATGTTACCAATGGTAAAAAAATAAAATTCCCTATTGGGAACATTCAATTATATTAAGTTGGCTACATTGAAAATTTGAACTTCCCGCACAAACTAAATTAATTTCCATCTTTTTTTTAATAATAATAAATAATAATAATTCCCACATTTGAAATTCGCACCTTAATTTATTATACAACATTGGAACTACCTTCTTTATCTCTGGGAACTACTAGAATGTATGTCAGTTTGTGCGGGAAATTCAAAATTTCAGTGTAGCCAACGTAATATAATTGAATGTTCCCAATAGGGAAGTTTATTGTTTTACCATTGGCAACATCGACCGCATTCCTTGCATATGGTCAATTGGCAGTACTGTCGATTGGTCTTGTCAAAAATTTGGTGGGAAATTGTTGTAATCTGTGTTGTAAACAAAAATTGTGCCTTTTTTGATAGAACAGTATAAATTTGCTAAAATGGCAGAAAAACTAGAAGATTTAAACCTTCCCAACATGTCTGTGCAGAAGATAATTAAGGAAGCGATTCCGGAGAATGTAAATATCGGTAAAGATGCCCGGTCTGCTTTATCAAGAGCTGCATCGGTTTTCATTCTTTACGTTACTTCTCAAGCATCAAAGGAGGCGCAAAAAGCGAATCGAAAAACTCTTATTGGTCAGGATGTAATTGCTGCACTTGAAGAGCTCGAATTTGAGGATTTCATAGATCCTCTTCAAGATTTGCTAAAAGGTTAGAAATCATGTTAAGCTAAGCAATTGAGGCGTGGAAGTACCAAAGGTACTGCCATTTTTTGGTATTTTAAGATTTTTTGTTAAAAACAGTAGGTATGTAACCTTACTATGTTTCTAATGAAAAATCTCAAAATTCAAAAAGAAAATGGCATACTTCCTTTGGTACTTCCACACCTCAATTGTCCTGTTTACAACCCATATATAGATAATAAATCATAATACTTCCACACCTCATTTGTCCTGAGGACAACCAGTATAATATTTTTAGTTCCACCTTCTTAGTAAATGACATTTTATAGGTTAATTTTGTTGTTTTTGTTTTCAAGTAATGCCCGTATGCACCGTATGGACTTAATCTCGATTAGGAGTTTAATCTCTCTTAGTTCGAAAATTTATCATGCACCGCGCGAAAAATGTAGTTTAAGTGTTCGATTACGAGGTCCACCGGCGAGGCAGGTTTAATCGCAGGATTAACTGATTTTCTAACCAAATTTTTAGTTCCAAACTTCAAAAGTAGATTTCAAAAACTAGTAATTGTAGAAATAGTAAAAAATATAATTAAATGGATTTAGAAGAACTATTTGTAGAAGATGATCAAGATATTCTGGACATAATTAATTTTGGATTTCCGCGACAAAATTATTAAAGGAGCGAATATTTTGACAACATGGACAATTTTTCGTTTTTTCGCCGATTTCGATTGACCCACCGTTCTAAACTTTCTTAATGAAATTGAATATTGAAGCCCAGTTCTGTTAGTTTTTTTTTTGTCTTCCAATATTTCATTGGATTTTCTTTTTCCGCTGGTGAAAAGTTAGGAATTCTGGTCTCCCATTTTATAGACAGAAGAAGGATGATCCAAAAATATAAATATAAAAGATATTGTATATTAAGCATAGCTATAACAAAATTTAAATTTTAGTTTGTCAACATAGTTTGTTTCTCTATGGTTGTCAATCGATTTTGAATTTACGATTGACAGTTTTTTGTGGTTTTTTGACAAATAAAACAGCTTTGCCAAATCGCCAATCCAGATTGCACAATCCGCGTACGGTGCATTATGATGGAGAAAGATTAACATAATCGCGATTTGCTAACTAGGCTTAGGCTTTAAAACGGTGCATACGTGCATAAGCGAAATTAAACTCCTAATCGAGATTAAGTACATACGGTGCATACTAGGGATGCACCGGATCGGGTATTTTGCCGATCCGGCCGGAACCGGAATTTCGGCCGCTGGCCGGACCGGATAGCCGGAATTCCGGCCGGATCGGGACCTAAATTTAAAATGTATGTGCATGCCTATTTTTATACGTAAAACCAATAATAAAAAAAATAAAAAGAAGTCGGGGAACCACAGCCGCCGCACATAGGTAGAATTCGGTCACTTAGGCGGCCAAAATTATTTTATTATCTCTTTTAGTAGGAGACATGATAAAAAATGTCTAATAGGTTAAACTAAATAGAAAAAGGTATTTTTACCAAGTTTTGTCGACATATTGGTTTTACGTAGTAGAATTTTCAAATTTTTTGAAATTTAAAAGTTGAACTCACTGGTTTTTTCGTAGACTAATAAGTTTTTGTTATTGATCTACAGCACGTATTTTTAGATGAGTCCACGCTGAATTTAATCAAAATTGGATCAGTACTTTTTGAGATACAGAGCAGTGAATATTTAAGGGAAGTAAATGATACAAGATGTAGTAAATACATGGAATTCATTATATTTCCAAATTCTTACTATGCAATTTACATTTTAAAACAAGTTTAACAAAAAGTAATTAGTCATAAATTTTTTTTTTTTTTTTTTTTGTATATAAATATGATTGAAAACATAATATAAACATAATATATAACACAAATTAAAAAAATCATATTCTTAATAATAAATACTGTTACACATATAAAAATTAAAGTAATTTACGAGCCAAATGAAATGTCTTCGTCATCGCTTTTCATACATGTATCACAGGCTACCTCTGTGTTCGGCTCTGCAGAAACCAAAAGTCGTAAAGTTTCCTGCGAAAACGATATTGTAATTGTTTTCTTCTTTTCTCAAAGAACTGATGAGAGGGTCAGATGTTATAAGTAATCTGTGATATATGTCTATATTGCATTCTTCACGTGAAAATTTACGGCAAAGTTAAGGCGGTACGACCGGAAATGCTTATTCCGGGCTTCGGCAGCTTCTTCTGAAAACTGGCCAATAGGTAAAATGGCATTTTCGCAAATTATTGCACCGTGTATTAAAATTGTATGCATTGTGGGGCTCATACGGTGCCACCCATACAAATCCACGTACAGTTTTGCCGTTTCCATTGCATACTCATCAAACTTTTGGATGCCGCTTGTGATGGCCTCTAAAATTGTTTTGATTCTACAAATAAAATTTTAATTTAAAAATCGTTATCTAAAGGTGAAAATAAAAGTTTGTACGTGTCACGCTTTGCAATTAATATAGGCTCACTGGATTATGGGGTTCGCTCCTGCATTGCTCACCCCACAAACTTCCAGCTCGCCCGTAAAGATTCATTTACAAAGCTTGACACGTAAATAACTATTATAAGATTTTTAACGTAAATTATAAATTTCTTGATTTCTGCCCAAATTACTTTCAAGTGGAATTTTTCGCAAAGTGGACCAAAGTGGACCGTAATTTTTTCTCAGTTTTTAGCTAAATAAATTATTTATCAATTACAAAAAGAAAAAATACTCGGACGGGCCCGGAAAGGTAACATTTTTACTTTAGAAACGGAAAAAAATTTAAAAAGTATGTTAAAAAAGGGTGTATCTTTAATGGGCTATAATTATGCGAAATATTGACATTTATTATAGTATTTCTTTAAGAATTATAAGTAACATACCTGAATTGTCGATATCCATCACATTCACTTAATAATTGAACTTTCATTCACTAAAAAATGACTTTGCAAAATAGTGTTTGTAAGGGTGTCGAGAACGAGTTTAAGCAGCTTGCGCGATGATCAAGTTTCGACTGATTATTGGGAACGCACATGTTCTGCTGGGACCGTGAAAGGGGTCGTCTATTGTTCTTTGGACTTTCTATTTTTCCCGGAAAGGATTAGTTTTCTTATTAATTAACTTTGAAATAAACCCTTTTTGTCTCCCTAAATCCCCGAATTCTACCTATGTGCGCCGGTCTATCATATATGATCAGGGCCGGATTTAGGCATGGGCCACATGGGCCCAGGGCGGCAAATTTTTAGGGGCGGCAAATTTTGAAGGCCAGTTAAAATTTTGCTAAAAAATCAAGAGCGTTTTATGCAGAATTTTTGTTTTCACTCAGATTTATACACTAATTAAAACTATAAAAAGTTGGAAGAGAAGTTTTTTAATACATTAGATAATTTTATATCAGACTACACTATTATTCAGTCGATGTACACGAGGCGAGTGGGGCGCGACTCTAGCTTATTCGCTGAGTCATTCGTTATTCGGGGTAAGGATGCGTTGGGCCCATGGGCGGCAAATTCGTAAATCCGGCCCTGTATATGATAGTGAAGGGTGTGCGTGTTTCCTTGCCTATAGGCAAGGAAACACGCACACCCTTCACTGTTGACCAATTACAAAATATATCTGGTCGAAAGTCGGGGCATCCCAGACGCGAAAGTCGGGAAATCACAGTTTCTCACTCTAATTTTTCATGTAAACTGTATACTTATCTTACATACATAAGACTTATCCATGACAGGGAATTTGGCTGTTATTTTAGCTGTTAGAATGTTTTCAGTTAATATTTATTTTTTGTAATTCTTGGAAAGAAAATATATTTTGTTCTAAAAAAAAATTATTTGTGATTAACGACTTAACAATAGGTAAGTAGGCACCAATTTAAAAAAGCCTTAAAATAATTTTCTTTATTTTTGCATATATTTGAATTATATTAAAAATTTAAAACTTAAACATTTCCAAAAAGTTCCGAAAAATCCGGCCGGAAAGCGATCCGGCCGGAACGGTAGTTCCGGCCAACTGGCCGGATTTAGTGGTACCCCCGCCGGAATTCCGGTGCATCCCTAGTGCATACGGGCATAATGCCATTACATTACATTGCAATTACATTTTATAGGTTAATTTTGTTGTTTTGTATCCAAGTAAACACATTATATACATTATGGAAACAGACCTGTAATATTAACAAATAAATATATTTCTAAAAGAAAACAACAAATAAACTAAAAAAAAACAATTGATATTTCTTAAACTAAAAACATAATAGTTAAAGGAGAATTTTGAAAATAGATACCAGCTACAATTTGTGTTTATTTTGTATTAAATATGAACAAATTGAAAATGTACTAAATATGGCCGAATTTTATACAAAATGTACTTTTGTACTATCAGAGGTGTATTGTGTTTTAAAATTATTCTTGTTATAGAATTTAAGGATAGCAAAAAAAAGACTCCCAGCAAAACCAAAAAACAAAATGATGAGACTGAAGAAACAGAGACTGCTGAAAATGAAGATGAGGGTGTTGATGAGCCTATGGAGGAAGAACAAGAATAAAAAGTATTCATGTCCTGAAAATAGAAATATTTTGTCTATGTAAATAAAAGGATAGTGTAATTTTAATATTCTATTTTCAAGGAACATGTTAAATTATTTTGTATTGTTTTGTTAATGTTGAACTGTTAAATTATAAAGATTGGGGGTCTGAGACCTTCAAGATTAGTATTTATCTGGTTTTTATGATAATGTAAGAGCTCCAAAATATTTCTTATATGTTTTAAAAACATATTTGAAAAACAAAAATCTTGTTCTATTGTTAATGAGAGGTATAAGTTTTAAATAAAACCACTTTGTAAATATAAAGAATTTTATTGAAATATTATGAAATAGGTAAATATAACAAGTTGCTTAAAAAATTACGTGATTGACTAGGAAGTTAATAATATTTGTGCTAATTAATGGCAATGTTTTAAGGCCACACCTCGTGTGTAATGTTTTATACAATTTAAAATAAAGTTACATGTATTTTTAATAATTATGAAGTTTATAAGCCATTACATTTAACTAAATAAAAGTGTAATCAAATAAAGATACTAATATATATTATCTATTATATTATAAATAAAACATTATTAGCCATATGCACGAGAGAAAGTCAAGATTTGTTGCAACCACAAAAAACAATAACAAATAAAAATTAAAGGTAAAAATTTTATTTTTGGTTTTTAAAGAAAACTCAATTCTAAAAAATGTTTTGATCATTGATAAAAAACATTGACATAAACAAATTTGTGAATTATCTACACTAGTGTTCAAAAATTATGATAACATGAAATCATTTCAAAAGAAAATTTCATGAAATTTACTATAAGATTGAGTTGTTTGGAATTAGAAATCAGATCTGAATACAAAAATTACATCTATAAAAAAAGACGTTAAAATTTCGATTCCTTATCTTCCTGTAACTTTAAAACCAAAACCTATACATAACTTCATATGAAAAAACTATTACTTTTTATTAAGGATTGCACCACTTAATTTTTCCTCAACCTTTTTGTAACAACTTTATATTGGCAAAAATTAATAAAAACTAGAACAATATGTAATTTTGGCAACACATAATAACATTTTAAATCACATTTACAAGATCAGACCATGTTGGTAAAAATTTAACAATAAAAAGGCAATGATTTATGAAATTGATTATTGGTAAAGAGCAGTACAAAAGTTCAATGAAAAGATTTATACACATGCGTAGCATTTAAAACTACTAAAGACTTTTATGATGCTATTACTTTTATTTTTCGTTCTATACTGGAACGACACATTGGACATTCAGTTATCATTGTTGAGCATTGAGAACAGCAGCAAAGATGACCACAGGGAACAAATATTATTTGACACTAAAACATTAAAGATTAAAAAAAATAAAAGTAAAACTTCATCTTACCTCCAGGTCTAAACATATCACACAATCAGTAGTATTAGCACTGCAGTGAATTTCTTCTAATAAGGGGGCACTTGCCTCTTCAACAGGTAGTACAGGTGCTGATGGCGTTACACAACTAGAAAAACATTCCTTTTCTTTTTTGTAAATTTGGAATGCATTTAGTATGTTTAATCTATCATTAGAATGTATTACCCCTGCATTTCTTAAATCTTCATCTGTTATGTCATTGGTATCCACTAAAAAGGAAAAATATTCATTATTTAATACCATATTTTTATTTTGAAAAGAACCCCCTGTATATTGAAAATCAGTAACTTTTGAAAAAAGTCTAGTACCTCAAAAAATTGTCCATTCGGTTATGTTTGATTACCGTAAGGTTTGGGATCGATTACTTTTAAAATTGGGCTATAATAAAAAAAAAAAACAAAAAAGTGATTTTGAAAGCAACGCTCAACTTTGCACACTGCACTTAGCAAAAGGCCCATCATATAAGTGCGCAATGGGGTTTAAGGTGTGCTTTATTTAGTACATAATCAAAAGTATTAGAGGTCAAATTCTGAAAAAATTCATGGTTAGCGAGTTATGAGCCAAAAAACAAAAATCTCCCCTCTCGGGGGATGAAATAAGGGGACGCGGAAAGAAATTTTTGGGGAATATTCTTGATTCATTATCAGCACCCCTGACTCTACATAAAAAAAATAAAACCCGACTACCATCGAGTTTTCCTTCTACAACCTTTGTTTCCTGGACTATAACCATAAATGTATTTCCTAAATTAATGCGAACACGTTTAAGACACTGCTAAAAAAATTATTTTTTTGACTTATCCCCTTATGCCTTTTACCAACAGATTTGTTAAAATTTATGTGAATAATGTATGCTAGTATAAAGGGTGTTTCTTAAGTGCGTATAAAAAATGCAGGGCCATATCATAGAAAATTAATTTAAAAAATCAAAAATTTAAACACAAAAAAGTTGAGGTCAAAGTAGTAGAGTATCCACCCTAATTGTTTGCCTATGATTATTTTCAATAGGTACCCTTTATGGGCTATAATTTTCTTAGACATGATTTTTTACCATAATGTACTTTCTATGACCGCCGTATTAAAATTTTACATGCTTGGATAGAAAAAAAATAAGGAATCCAACGATTTATCAAACTACATAAGTTATGGCGGCCATTATAAAAACAACTGATGGTGATGGTCCAAACTCAAAACATAGTAGCAAAAAAATTAAATAAAAATGTAGGTTACTGTGTATGTTTACATGTAAAACTTACTTTGTTTCAAAATTCCCCGGAATAACAAAGTTATAACGATTTTTGGTCTTGAAAGTTTTTTTTTAGTTTTTTTCGGCAAAATACCCGATCCGGTACATCCCTATTGGGCAACAAAGATTTTTCAGTGTTCCGAAATCCGTAAATTTTACAAATGACGATTTTAACTTACAAAATAAATTTAAAACGGTTTTTTATTCAATTTGTAAACTGAACAAGTAGCATAACTACCTGATTTTCATTCCTGGTGGTCAATAAATGCAAAATTTATTTAAACGTGTTTTTTAAGACACAGCGCTAATAGGCAGATTTAGGTATAGAAACATAAGGTACATTTGGAATCAGTGCAATTTTTTTATATAAATAGCTAATAAAATAATGTAATTCCCCTAAATGTATAAAATTAGGCATTATGATTGTTGGGTTAGTGGCACTTAAAAACTTTAAATTTTTAAAATATATATACAAGTATACTTGTGCCTAGGAAGATTATACTCTTTAACCTGAATAATATTGCTACAAAATATTTTTTAATTATAAGGTGATTTTTTAATATTCGAATATTATTCTAAATTGGGTATTGCCGATTTTCTAATTTTCTCAATATAATTAAGTTTATTATTACTAATAATTTATTGGTAAAAATGATTCATGTTTCAGAGATTTTTTAAATTGCGCATATTCACAATCATTTTTTTCCTATAACCGTGTTTTTGTTTTAAACATAAACTTACATTGACACTGTGTGAGTTTCGCCAAAAATGGTAAACAATGCAAGACTCCATTCATAACAAGGGCTTGTCCAATTAGAGGATCAATATTTTTCTGAGCTTGAGACAATCCAGTTGGGAGCCTGCAAATGTTTAAATTTATTGAATATAAAAGGAACTAAGTGGACAAATTTACTTGTCAAGTAATCTTTGATACTGCTGTAGCCAAAAGTCTTCATCATCATTGCTAAATTCTTCAAGCACTGACAAAGTCTGTACAAGTTGCGATCTTCTTTCTTTCTGCTGATACAGTAGGTCCAGTAATAAAATTGATAAATTTATTCGTTTCTCTGATAAATCATTCTAAAATATACATTAGTATAAAAATAGTGTCTTGACTTTTATTAAGGTTGCCAGTGTTTAAAATCAGCAATGAAACACTAATCAAGTGCAAAACCAAGTAAAAGAGAAATTTAAACCACTTACCAAGTTTTGGATCATTTCCAATTGCCTACGATCCATTTCAATGGTGGTTAGGGCAGCTAGTTGAGCTTCAACCAACCGAACTTGTTGTAACAAACCCCAACTGCGCGCGTCGCCTCTTTCTAACAATGTTCCTACAGCTGCTTTCTGTAAATCGCGTTCTTCTTGCAGCTTTGACAACAGTTCGGCTTTGTGCAAATCGTTACTTTTTAGTACGACCAGTAGACGGGAATCATTTTCCATTTCACTAAAAATGACTTTATTTTAAAAGAATATATTTTCCACTTACTCACAAATAACTGTTAAACAAAATAATGAATATCTCAAAAATATAACATAAACACAAAGCATTTTAAACCGTTTGTTACCTTTCTAGTATACTCCTGGATGTCTCTATTCTATTTTGATGGAACTGCACAAAATGTACAGTTTCTTGATTTAAAATTTCTTCCATGGCCATTAGAATATCTTCCTTTTGAAGATTTTCGTTATACTTCGTTACAGCCTCAAGCAACCGCTCTTCCTCTAACTTTTCTTGTTCTAATAATTGTATTTGCGGTTCTCTGTTAAGTGAGAGTAATTGCTTAATGGCTAAATCGGCATTATTTTCGACTGTAAAATTTTAACGTGTATTAAATGTAAATAAAATAATTTTTTGTATGTGTAAACTATGGCCCGGCGGTACGAGCTTCCTGGGAAATTAAGCGTAACGCGTCATGCGCATCATGAAGATGTAACTGTGTCAGTGTGTGAGGGGATTATATTTGCATATTTGTTCGTGGCGTAAGAAATTAGTGGGTGTGCCTGAGTAAAAGAGAGATCCATTCTATACCAAATCGACCACTTTTGACCCCAACCCAATTTTTCAAAAAATTAAAAAAAAAATTACCCAACTGAAAAAACTTATGAATTTTTCATAAAAATATTATATATATTATATTTTGTACAAATGTACAGAAAACCTAAAAGTTAAAAAAAATATTCAGAACTATCTACTATTTTTTTTCTTACTTGTTCAAACTTTGAAGTTCTTTCTACATGTACAAAAATCCCCAGAATGGTATCACAAATAAGAAATTGAAAAAAATAGAAAACAAAAAATGTCATTCTTCAGAGAATTTGCAAAAATGTAAAAGTTTTTAATAAAAAAAGTTAAAAATGGCAATTATCAAGAAATTTTTGTTTTTTCCGAAAATTAAAAAAAAAAAACGTTGAAGAACGATCTGAATTATTTTTTTCTATATATTTTTTGAAAAGAACATAAATATAAACAAAAACTGTCCCAAAGAGTAAATGTTTAAAATAGATAGATATATAGATATTTGAAAAAGAGCCATTTTTGTACACAAAATTTTAAATTTTTTAAACTTTTCAAAATTTACACTTTTATAAATTTTCAATATTTTATCCAAACCATGACTTCATATTTCCTAAACTTGTACCAGCCAAGATGTTTACAACTGTGTTTTTTAAATAATTTGTTTACCTTCTTGTATTTGTTCTATAAGCCGAAATCGTTCAAATTCTTTGAGTTTATTGAGTTTAGTCAGCTTTAAATCGAATTTATTTTGATCTCTGGCGATTTCAGCCAATAACTAAAATATAAATAATCAAATATATACATAAACAAACATTACATGTAATTTGCAATGTGGAATGAGAAACTCGCCCTAACAATAGTCCCTTTACTTTGCATACAGATTATACCTGAAAAGTGTAGTGGTGGAAACGTTTCTTGCTAAACGTTTCTCATTCCACATCTAGTATAGGTTATTTTAATTGTAAATACCTTTTCTTTATTAACTTTTTGCGTATTTGCCAATTCGATTTCTTGGCGATGCATTAGTTCGTTATTACGCTCAATTTCTAAAAACTCTCGCATTTTTTGCTGCTACAATAAAACCTGACATGAAATAGGAATGTAAAACATAAAGAAAACAACTAAGCGGAAAATAGCAAAGCACACTAAAATTAAAAAAAAAATTACAGACATGCCTTAATTTTTTCTAGCTCCCATATTTTCGCCTAAAAAAATAAAAAAAAGCTGATTATATAGATGAAGATGATACTAGGCAATGACCCCTACAACAGTTATTATTTAAAACGATTTTATTATTATTATTTAATTTGTTTTTATTTTTGTTAATTTACAACTATAGTCCAGATACCAAAAAGTTATTTACAAGATACTTTATTTTATTAATTTAAGCATATTTTAATAAAATTCTACTACTCAATAAGATATTTTCAATATCAATTATTTTAAAATGTACAAAAGGGTGGTCGTTAAGTGCGGTTCGGATAAATTTTTCAGTTGCTGCCCCTTAAATGTTCTTTAAACTGAGCTCTGTATACCAATTTCTTGCTTCACTGCTTAAAAGTTTGTGATTAATCCGAACCCCATTTAATGACCATTTAATGACCATCCTAATGTAGTCTGCTCCACACCCAATAGTTCCACCTTGAAAATTGATTACCTACAAATAATTGAGGTTGTGTTTAACGCTAATTTCGTCTTATTTTCTGAACACGTTATGTAAAGACCTCCGAGAAAACGAACCTTGAGTCCGAAAATAAAATTTTACTTTGCGCAGAATAGGCTTTTGCGCAGTAACACTCAACATAGGAAATACGTAGCATTGTCAATTTTTGTACCAATCTACTTAGAACAATCATAATCGCGAAAATAACTTTTTTGTTCGTTTTCTCTGAGCGCGTCACATGTATTTTTTGTGTTTTATAATTAGGAAGTTTATACCTTGAACTGACAGATAGATAACCTCAATTATTAATATTCAAATGTCAAGGTGGGACTTCTGAGTGTGGAGCATAGTACTGCTTGTTGTAGAGGGGGTAACAAACTATTTTAATAGTCTTTGTACCTGAAATTTGTCTTCTTCTTCATTTGTATCTATTTTTTCTTTGGATAAATCATCAGCTTCATCTGGCAAGACATAGTTATATCCAGTATCTAAAAAAATAATATAAAAAGTAACTATAGTTATATATCATTCATGCCATTTTATCTCAATGGTTCATGCACAAGAAAAGTGATCAACACAATATTAAAAACGCTTTCTCTTAAGTAAGTAATAATTATTATAGGTGAAAAATACCAGTGAAGTTAATTTTAAAATTATATATTTTTGGCTAGGAAAACACAGCGATGGTGCCAAACTATCGATGTTTGGTGCCCATCCCTACCCTAGTAGCAATTTGGGAAAAGCCTTGTGCCAGCATGGGTCAAGATACTTGGAACATATTGTTGATCGAGAATTGTACAAGAATTGGTCCAGATTCATGATCAAGATCATTGGGCAAGACTTGGGCCAGACTTTGGCCAGAATTTGTCAAGAATTTGACCAGAAGTCTGAGGCCATCTGTTACTAAACTTAGGGACTATCCTATAGAGTAGAGGTTCTCATTTTACAGCTGTAGTAGTTTACTACTACAGTTTTACTACTAGTAGTTTCATTCACAATACTCTAGTCGAGAAGTGTGTGTAAAAGAGAAGGATAAGGTGCGCCTTACTCTCTCTGTCTAAGGTGAACCGAAGTGTGCCGAAGCTAAAATTTTTCTTCCCACAGGTGAAAAATTTTATGCAAAAAAAAAAATCGACCAAATGTCGTGTATATCATTTGATTCAGAATTTTACGCGATGAATTTCTGTGGTATCGAAAATGTAATGATTTTTTTCAAAACCATTTTCTTGGGCCAAGATTTTTATTTTCAGCCAAAAAAATTTTTTTTTCTGTGCAATCGTCGACAAATTAACAAGTACTGCTTTGAGTTGTGAAATTGAACTAATTCTTGTCGTCTTTTCAGTTTCTCGCGTAAGTCTATCTCAAGACTCTGGGCCAAGAATCTGGTCAAAGACTGGCCCAAGTCTGGAGCCAGTCTGGATAAAAAATCTTGGTCAAGTGTCTTGATCAAGAATTGTCAAATTGTGTATAAAGTGCTTCTCCAAGTATACTTGCCGAAGAATCTTGTCCCATTCCATTGCTACTAGGGTAGTTTTCTATAACGACATTTTACGCTAGATGCTGTTTAAAAGGCTTGCACCAAATTAATATTTTTAATAAAAAAACAGCGTTTTTGCATTTTATGGCAAAACGGTTAAAGATACAGGGGAAAAGAAAGGAAGACTTTTATGGAAAATTAAATTTTCTATAAAAAAGGTCCAATGCATTGATGCAATGAAAATCCTAGTTAGAAAGATATAAAGCATATAATAAATTTTAAATAAATGAGGTGTAGTAAAATTCGTTCAAGTAGGTAGGCACTTTTAAAAAACATCTACAAATCACACCTATGTCAATGGGAGTAGCGTAAAATGCCGACAAGTTAAAGAAAATTGAAACAAAATATATATTAGTTATGTTAACAATTATAGTTTCAATGAAAAAACTTTAAAATCAAAATTAATGTACTTAAGAGTAAGATTAAGGGCTTAAACTTTAAGTACATTTTTCTTTCTTGATATATATTTTGCTGTAGCAGCAAAAAATGTTTAAAACGAATCACCCCAATATACATATACCTATGCACCTATTTTAATTAAATCAAGTACTTAAACAATTTTATTACTTAAGTACTTTTTACTTTTCGGCTTTTGCGTTTTTTTAATAATAATTTCATAATATGCAACTTAAAAAAATAACTTTTCTGCATTTACCTATTATAATTATATATGGATAGCGTTTATCGAAAAGGAAACCAAGCGCCAAAAACTTTTTTTGGGGTAAACAAAATTATTTGCAAAATTACTCATTTTTATTGGTGCTCAAAAAATTAATAATGATTTAATGCTGATTAACCTTTTGAGCATTATTAAATATGAGTTATTTTACAAATAATTTTACCCCAGAAAAAGTTTTTGGCGCTTGGTTCCTTTTTGATAGGTGTTATCCATATATGAGTACATTAGATGCAAAACATTTTTAAAAAATATATATTTTATCTTATTTATGTTCATAACTGCACTGCCCACAGCATAACTAAGTAAACCAGATGCATAAGTTAATATTTGTAGAATAAAATACATTTATAAACTTACCGCAGCTGCAAAACTGGGTATTTGTCGGATGCAAAACTCGGTATTTGACCAATCACCAATCACGTCGCTAGTATACGCATTAACTGACGGCATAACAATCACCTGATTAATTGTTATTTTTTTGGTATTTGCACTTTTCACTTGCAAAACTTGGTCTTTAAACGAGGAAGATGCAAAACTATGTTTTTAAATCTTTTGATTTCAATTATTTACTAAACTACTTAATTTTAAAGGACTTTTTTTTACTTTTTTGAATAAGAAATGATGCAAAAGCACGTCTATACGATTTTTGTATTTTTTTTTTCAAATATGACCTTATGAGCGGTTTTTCGTGTTTTTCTTAAAATCACTTATCCTGCAAATACAGAGTTTTGCATCTAATGTACTCATATCTAAAATGATTATTCAGATTAAGTTAAACACAATGCAAATAATTTTATAATATATAAATAGGGAAATAATTTACAAAGACACATACTATAGTTATACAAAATATATATTTTTCAAGAACGAGACATTTTAAAGAAATTTTGAATCTTTAAAGTAATAATAACAAAATTTTGGTAAATCAAATCCAATCTGCTTACACACAAAACAATTATATTGTTTAAACAATTATATTGTTTAAACAATAAGTATTTACCTTCACAAATATACTCCATTATGGCTGATGCTCCAGCTGAAGCAACTTCTTGTGGGGGATAAACGAAATTAAAGGCATCCAATTTTATTGTAGACAAATGCTGAGCTTTGCAAGTACTTTTTGGCAATGCTTTTAAATTCTTATTGGAATTAATATTTAAAGTTCTCAAATTACACAAATTACCAATTTCTTCTGGTAAGTTTTTTAAATTGTTACCTGATAAATCCAAAGATTTTAAGTTGCTTAGACTACAAATTGATTCCGGCAATTTCTTTACTTTATTACAAGAAATATTAAATTCCTAAAAAAGGTCTTTAGTAAATAAATATGAGGTATTTAAGAAGGATCTTACTTGTAAATTTTTTAATAAGTAAATTTCATCTGGTATTGTTGAAAACTGATTATTGCTTATATCCAAAATTTCTAATAAAGCCAAGTCTTTTAAGTGACCGCCCCCAGATAAGGATGTAAGATTGTTGTGTTGTAAATATAAAGCATTTTTAAGAAATACTTTGCATAAGGAGTATATTCCTTGGGGTACAGAATCCACATTACAATCAGACAAGTCAAAAATGGGCTCAGGATTTTCTCTTGCCTATAAATTTATAAACGTTAAATAACTAAAGATTATTATTATCTCAATATAGCATCGATTTTTAAGAGGGGAATAATTCAACACTATCAATGATGATGGTTGAACTTCGATATGCATTTTTAAACGCATCTGGATACTTAAAATGTAACATTTAACAGTAATAATTACTGTTAACATTAATATTTAACAGTAATTATTACTCTTCAAATTAAACTACCTACCTATTTTTTTATTTTATAAGGTTTTGCATTCTTAGTTTTATTTTAACTTACAATTTTTAAAATAATTGTTTTATGTTTAAAGGTTTTAGAAAACAAATAATGATTTTACCCATTAGACCAAATTAATAATTTTATTTATTGTTAAGTATATTTTTTTATTCTGAATTTTACACATTTGATTATGTTAATACTATATATTAATATATAATTTTTATTTATAATATTTACAATTAATCAATGCCTTAATTTTAATTTGATTATATATTTTATATTTGATTAATTCATGGAGCCTACACAAGGAGTCCAATCTTCATGTATACCAAATCTTCCTAAGATAAGAAGGCACTGGTGTTGTTTATTAATAAACAATTGTTTGATTTGTACTGAAACACTGCCTAAACAGCAGACTTAAATACGCATCTACAATCAGCGCAGCTGGTGGTGAAAAAAAAACCTTAATTTGTGCAATTTAGAGGGCAGGTTTTAACAATCTCCCCTATTAAGTTAGGGCTTCTTGTGTAGGGTCCATGAACTAATTATTAGATTTATAGATAAACCATTGAGTAACATCTTACTCAATGGAAAAACAATGCCAAATTTAAATTTAAATCTTAAGATAACAGATAATTCTAAATAAAAAAGAAATGTTTATATATAATATATTATCCTCTTTAACAATCGCGTAAAAATTGAGTAATATAACTAGTTTTCCAAACATGGCTACCCTGCTTAAAATACCCCATAGAGACCCTGTTCAAACCGATACATATTTGTATCGGGATGTATGGTGTTTCTATAGGGTGTATCGGTTTGTATAGGACCCATAGTTGAGATTTATGGTTGTTCTATAGGGATATCCACCCTTGATTTATTTGCTATCAGTTTTAATGGGGAAAATACACATAAATGTAGAAATTAGTTTTTCCCCTATAGGACCCCATAGGTTTTAATAAAATTTTGTCAAATGGTTTATGGTTGCTCTATAGGGATATCCCTATATATCCTTCATTGAGTTATTTGCTATAGGTCTCAATAGGGAAAATGTTAAAGTTATGGTGTGCCTATAGGTAATTTCCTATACATTTTCTATCGGGCCGTATCCAGAAAAAACCATGGACAAATGCACATATTGAATCCGGTAGCGCCCGATAAATTATTTTGTATAGGTCTCTATGGGGTATTTTAAGCAGGGTAATCATAATTACTTAAGTTGAATATAAACTTTAAATGGGTTGACCAACGTTGGTACTTAATACAAGTACTTGTATTAATAATGTCCTAATAGGTAAAACTGTCTAAACCCTTAATGAAATGTGCTATTTAATATTACATGTTATGTTTAAACAAATGTTGTTTAACAACACAATTCTTTTGGCACGTTTTTTGAAAGATGGAAATATATATAAATATTTACTAATAATCCCGTCCATTTATGTATACTGTATAATAATAAACCCAGCAATTAAAAACATTAATCAATATTACCTACCAAGTATAATTTATGTTCCAGTTTAGCTTTGTTTTCGTTTTTATTTTTACGAAACATTATTGATCACATATTGAATTAAAGGCACACAATATTAAAAATACTTGTAATTTTTATTTCCACTAAAATTTTCAACAAACTGTATTTAACATTTTATTGCGTTATCACAGTATTAATTATTAAACCGTCGAGCTATAGATTACTTTATTTGTTTTGATTCATAATGACGTATGACGTTTTATTAAATCCCCGCTTGACAGAGCTGTCATCGAGAAAAGGTTAAGGTATATTCGTAGTAAGTAGGTAACTTTTTGTTATCTTAAATTTTAACGTTTAAACTACCCTGTTGGTAAAAATATTGGAAAAGTAAACGCACAAATAAACTAACTAAATATTATATCATTGTATATCAAGAAATATATGGAATTTTAATATAATTTTTTTTTAATTTTCGTATAAATTTACCTTTATCATGCGGAAGAGAGTTACATAACCTTAAATTTTCACAAATCCTAACCTAAAAACACAAATATCTTTAAAATGACTTTCATTGATTTTCCCGATGAAAACGAAAGGAAAGAAAAAGCAGAAAAGCCAGAAACACCAAAACCACAGCAACCCTCACCAAATGAAAGTCAATGGGGCTACGATTTGTACCCAGATCGTAGTAGACCGGTGAAATCGGAGCTTACTTTGAGCTCCTTTCTAAAAGGACAAGGAAAGGAAAACTTGGATAAAATAAAATGTGAAAGGAACGTTTATAAGTGCGTTAAAAAGAGTCCGCTTGTTAAATTAATGTTGGGGGCTTTAAAGGGTTCGGGATGTGAGATTGATATTAGAAGACACATTGCTTGTGAAGAATGTTCACCAAACGTTAGTGGTGGGTATGATCCTATATTAAATCAAGTTGTCATATGTCACAACACAGCAACAAGTGAAGGTGTAGTACAGGGAGTTTTGACACATGAGTTAATACACATGTTTGATTATTGCCGAAACAAGTTGAACTTTAAGAACATTGATCATTTGGCATGTACAGAAATAAGGGCGGCCAATTTGGCGCACTGCAGTTTCTTATCTGCATGGACCAATGGTGATGCATCTCCATTTAAGATTAAGCAAGCCCATCAGGATTGTGTTAAAAGTAAAGCTTTAAGTTCAGTTATGGCTGTAAGGAACGTTACCAAGTTAGAGGCTATTGATGCTATTGAAAGGGTTTTTCCTAAATGTTATCCAGATTTGGAACCAATTGGAAGGAGGTTGAGGAGGAATTCAGATGATATGTACAAAGCCTATGAAGAAGCTTTTTATTATGGATATGATAATAAATAATTTTGTATATTTTGTTAGATTGTAAGTAATTGGAAAATATATAACTTGTTACATATTTGTGTGTTACTAAAAAAAAACTTATTAACATATAATATATTTAGTGCATAACATAGAAATATACATTTAGATAAACAAAATAAGTTAACCTACCTAAGTATGACTACTTTCATGACTAGGAAATTATTGTCATGCCGTTCTTGAACAGTTTTGCAATTGTAAAAAATTAAATTCAAGGTAAACAGACAAAGCCATTATATCACATAATAAATTAAATATTTCTAGATTTACAGTTAGGTATAAATATTAGATATTGATCACATACATTTTTAAAGGTGAAAATTAATAGTTTAAGCTAACTTGTACAAAGAAATGGCTAAATTAATACCTATAAAAGTATTTTAAAAAGTACCTACACATAAAATTAATAAAACACATTTATCCCCTATGAAGTATATCAGCCAATTCCCTCATCAGGCTAGCATTTTGGCGCATGTATGCTTTAGTTTCCCATAACATTTTACACAATTTTTCATCAGATTTTTCATCCATTGCTACTTCCTCAGACATTAATGGAGAAAATCTGAAATATGGCACTCCAATCATAGAACACCATCCTCTGGCTCTGTCAATCACTCTTCCATCAGATTGTGTAGCCTAAAAGTATTTTTTAGTCTCACTTATAGTCGCAATAGTGCTACTGTTTTTAAATAAAAAAAAAAACATGAAAATGTTATTTGATGGGCAACAGCAACATCTGTCGACGATCGGAGTAGGCTCGTTAAAATCATCGACAGCAGTACCGATAAGAACAACTGGTCGAATCCAGTGTAGTGCGAACAAATACGTTGATTTTCATTATTTTTTTATTCAAAAACAGTAGCTTCATCACAGGATGACAACTTGAAACCCTGTATGCTACGGTAAAAGTGCTAATTCGGAATATGTGCACATTTACCGCTTGGTAAAAGTGGTTATAACCATAAATAACATTAATTTACACCATAAAGGTAGCACACCTGTATTTTATTGAATGATTCTTTCAAGACTTCAAATGAATTTGCGCGCAGTTTCCTGGCCGAGCATTTTAAAGCACAATTGAGAACTTTTCCTTGAATATGCTTGAAAATTCTCGAAAAAATGCTCGATCGCTAAAAGGTAAAACGCGATAAAAGTGGCAACATTGCGACCCGTTTTGCGAGAATCATATCGCACATGGGCGACAACAGTGTCATAAGTAGTAAAACCATAATTCCGAGATTAGTTAACGTAAAAGATTTTTGAATAATAAAATTCTGACATTTTTGTAAAATTATATTAACTTACACTGTAAGTTAATATAATTTTATAAAAATATCAGAATTGTATTATTCAAAAATGTTTTACGTTAACTTATCTCGGAATTATGGTTTTACTACTTATGACACTGTTGTCGCCCATGTGCGATATGTGGCGTGGACGCTGGCCCGCTGCATCACTTGTCTTCGTATGTCCACATAAATTTGTATTAATAATTAATTAATTAAGAGGTAAAATAACTTGAAAGAATTATAAAATTGTTTAAAAATGTTAGAGATGGGAAAATTCCCATTTGGCGAAAATTCCCGGAAACTTTCCATCGAAAATTCCCGAAATTTTCCGAAAGTTTAAAAAAAAAAATTTTATTGCGAATATATTTTTTTTATGCCAGGGATTTGCAAAAATATATAACACATTAACTTTTTGTCAAATTTTTGGTTGCATTAACGACATAGATTTTCTTACAGAACTTGCTTTGAGCATGGTCTTTTTTGTTTTTTTTGCACTATTTTGTAGAGATGGGAAAATTACCATTTGACGAAAATTCCCGGAAACTTTCCATCGAAATTTCCCGAAATTTTCCGAAAGTTTCAAAAAAAATTTTTTTATTGCGAAAATATTTTTTTTATGCCAGGGATTTGCAAAAATATATAACACATTAACGTTTTGTCAAATTTTATTAAGAAAAAAAATAAAAAAAAATGTTTATAAGAATGTAACTGCAATACTATTTTTAGTATCTTTTACTTTGGAATATTCCTACTGTATACTAGTATTTCAGCTGAAACCTACAAAATAAAAATAAAATGTTTACTATTAGAAATTCACTGCTAGTAAATCCTAGATATTACGTAAAAAATTAAAATGGACAAAGTAACTATTATATAGGAATATTGAAAAGTATACTTTTATAAAAGATACTAAAAATAGTATTGCAGTTCTGACTGAGAAAATTTTCGTTTTTTTGCACTATTTTGTAATAATTCCAAACACTAGATTTTTCTCTTGGCATTGTGCTATGCCTATAAATAAACAACAAAAATGTAAGAATGATTTTTACTTTGTTTATTGTTTTTATTTTGTTTACCTTTTTTTAAAGTTTTTTGTGATGATGCTGAATAATCCGGCTTCATTGAGTTTATGTAACACAGAACACAGAACATAAGTTATGTAACATAACTTACATTATTTATACTTCTTCTTCTGCTTTCAATTAACACACATTAAATTCTTATTCAAAGTTTCTTGGCCTTGTATCATGGCCTTAACGAAAATCAGCGGTTAAACAATTGACATTTAAATGAAAAAAACAAGGAAAGTTTCCAAGGAATGTTTTCGCTAGCTTAAAAGAAACTTTCAAAATGAAAATAAATTCCCAATTGGAAACTTTCCAAAATGGAAAGTTTCCTTAAAATGGAAACTTTCCGATTCCCATCTCTACTATTTTGTAATAATTCCAAACACTAGATTTTTCTCTTGGCATTGTGCTATGCCTATAAATAAACAACAAAAATGTAAGAATGATTTTAAATTTGTTTATTGTTTTTATTTTGTTTGCCTTTTTTTTAAAAAAGTTTTTTGTGTTGATGCTAAATAATCCGGCTTCATTGAGGTTATGTAACATAACTTACATTATTTATACTTCTTATTCTGCTTTAAATTTAAAAATAAAAATAAAATGTTTACTATTAGAAATTCACTGCTAGTAAATCCTAGATATTACGTAAAAAATTAAAATGGACAAAGTAACTATTATATAGGAATATTGAAAAGTATACTTTTATAAAAGATACTAAAAATAGTATTGCAGTTCTGACTGAGAAAATTTTCGTTTTTTTCACTATTTTGTAATAATTCCAAACACTAGATTTTTCTCTTGGCATTGTGCTATGCCTATAAATAAACAACAAAAATGTAAGAATGATTTTTACTTTGTTTATTGTTTTTATTTTGTTTACCTTTTTTTAAAAAAGTTTTTTGTGATGATGCTGAATAATCCGGCTTCATTGAGTTTATGTAACACAGAACACAGAACATAAGTTATGTAACATAACTTACATTATTTATACTTCTTCTTCTGCTTTCAATTAACACACATTAAATTCTTATTCAAAGTTTCTTGGCCTTGTATCATGGCCTTAACGAAAATCAGCGGTTAAACAATTGACATTTAAATGAAAAAAACAAGGAAAGTTTCCAAGGAATGTTTCCAAGGAATGTTTTCGCTAGCTTAAAAGAAACTTTCAAAATGAAAATAAATTCCCAATTGGAAACTTTCCAAAATGGAAAGTTTCCTTAAAATGGAAACTTTCCGATTCCCATCTCTACTATTTTGTAATAATTCCAAACACTAGATTTTTCTCTTGGCATTGTGCTATGCCTATAAATAAACAACAAAAATGTAAGAATGATTTTAAATTTGTTTATTGTTTTTATTTTGTTTGCCTTTTTTTTTTAAAAGTTTTTTGTGTTGATGCTAAATAATCCGGCTTCATTGAGGTTATGTAACATAACTTACATTATTTATACTTCTTATTCTGCTTTAAATTACCACAAATTAAATTCTTATTCAAAGTTTCTTGGCTTTGTATCATGGCCTTAACAAAATCAGCGGTTAAACAATTGACATTTAAATGAAAAAAACAAGGAAAGTTTCCAAGGAATGTTTCTAAGGAATGTTTCCGGTAGCTTAAAAGAAACTTTCAAAATGAAAATAAATTCCCAATTGGAAACTTTCCAAAACGGAAAGTTTCCTTAAAATGGAAACTTTCCAATTCCCATCTCTAAAAAATGTTAAATTTTTAAGTACTAAAAATTTCATATCATTGGTCAAAAAAATGTTTATTCAATTACTTCCATGTAAACACAAACCTACCTAAACATACATGGGAATAAATGGAAAAAAACATTTTTTGAAGTACTGTAGCTTTTATGAAATCATTACCACTATTATAAAAATTTTAGTGCTCAATAATGTTTAAACAATTTTATAATTTTCTCAGTTATTTATCTCCCGGCGGCCAATTTATTTCCTGAAATCCGTGTGGAAAATAAACTTTTAAATTTTGGCAGTAAGCATTTTATTTATCCTATTTTCAATGACAAACATTTGAAAATTATGATATTATTTTAAAAACCGGTCCCGAACCTCCTTAAACATTTGTATTTAGTCTGTGTGGTTTAAAAATACTGATTTTTGTTCCTTTTTATAACTTGGGGCTCGTATATAAAGTACTTCACACGTTTAGATAGGTGTCAATACTTTGTGAAATTGTGTGCTTTATATAGCAAACAATTTCAAAGTATTGACCGTCCCAAACGTGTGACGTACTTTAGTAATGCTATTAGCGTCTGAAATACTCTAAATAGCTAGGTGTGACATACTTTATGGACGGTGCGACATTAGAGTGTCCGTTATTTACCAACTTGGTTTTTTGTTCGCAGCGCCCCCTAAATTTTTAGTTTATGACCTAAAAAAATAAAAAAAAAATATTCATATTAAACCCTGCCACAAAGGATACATTTTCCATTTAAATAACATGGGGTTTCGGCAAGTTTTACATTTTTTTTTCTCCCGAGCAAGTTAATATTCAGGAATAAGGAAATTGAACGCTGTACAAAAAAGCTTTCATGATTTTTCGATAAATTCACTGGTTTAAAAGTTATTTAAGGTATTTTAGTAACTTTTTTCGATTTTTCTACTCTGACTGCAAAATGTCATTATTTTTATAAAAATAAATTGTTATTTTTTGAAAATATGTGATTTTATTATATAATTGAAAAAAAAATTTGAAAAGGATAATTGCACCATGGTGTAGCGGAAATGTCTGCATCTCATACTCAAGACAACGTATGCGTAACTACGAATTTTATTTTGTCGTAAAAATACTTGTTAAAAGAATTTCTACGTTATTAGCTGTACTGAAGGAAAACTTTTTATTGTATAAACCCCATTTTATTTAAATGGAAAATGTATCGTCTTTGTGGCACGCTTTAATATGAATATTTTTTTTATAATCTTTTTAATAATTTTTACACACCTTAGAGTGACATACTTTATGGCCGTTTATAACTTTTTATTATTTTTGTTATTAGTATGTTTTTTATTGATTCGATTAAACCAGCCATACTCAACAGAGGCACGCGGGCCGCATGCGACCCTCCAACCCTTTCTTTGCGGCCCAAAGCCTAGCCGCATTAATGTAAAGATAAAATTATTCAAAACACTTTTTCTTACATAGTCTTGTGAGTTGGAAAAGGGCAATAGTTTGTTTGTAATATGACTCGATTCGAGCGCCCAAGTACTTTTACTGTGACGAGCTCGTCACAGTAAAAGTACTTGGGCTTTAGACTAGTCTAAAGCCCCTCCAATACGTTTTTATAAGAAATTCCTGGAACTTAGAAACCGGCGTACCAAACAACTTGCTGCATTGGGATTTGACAACGCAAAGTTAAAAGTTAAAACCGACTCAAGTTTGGGAGCAATTTTCAAAGTAAAAGAAGGAAGAATTTTGGAAATTAGTAGGTACCCGAAACGCTAAAATAAAATATTGGACGAGGTCCAAAAAAGGGACCTCAAAAAATGTTTTGAGCTTATCACTATTTTAAGTAGAGGGGTAAATGATCTTTCAAACGGTCCAGATGGAATTGACATGGCAATTAATTTTCGAAGTCGAGCGTCACTACCCAAACGCCTATGCCGCGCGAAGTTCAATCGCCTCCTGTAAAATTTGATTTTTAGATGCTAGGTTTTTTCTCGTATCGTGTCACATATGCAAAAATGCGTACAGATGTCGGCTAAATGATTCGCACCTTGACGACGTTTCGAGAGTAGCATATGTAGCCGGATTTAACTAAAATTGTCAAAAGTTTTCCACAATGTCAATAATTAGAATGTCATTAATTTTGAAATAAATAACGTTTAAATGTTTTTATTGTAATATAGGTCGTTGCAGCCCACCTAATGTAGCAGTCATACGTATTTGGCCCAAGAAAAAAAAGTTTTTTTAATAAAGAAAATTTTAATTCTCTAATAGGTAATATTGAGAAAACTCTCAAGAAAATTGGGAAAATTTAGAATCTTCTTAAAAATATTTAGAAAAATAAGAATATTTTCAAGAATTTTAGGAATAAATAAAATAAATAAGAAGCATTGACCTAATTCTGCTATGCTGTAAATAAATTCTCGGGAATTTCTTGTTAATGCTCGTTTTCGTTTATTCTTGTGTGTGCTGAATTTGCGTTCTCCAAAAATAAATGCTCGAGTATTTTCCATCTCTAGGCTTGGGTGTTGGATCAGGTTGGTTGGTTTGTTTAAGTTTTATTACTTTATTTATTTTTACATACATTTGCTTAAATGTAATGCATTTACCGGCGAATGTGCACATTGGCCGCTATGCTCATTTTTACCTTAACATATAGATTTATAGAACACCTTAAAATATTTTTTGTATAACTATTTATATTTTACTTAAAAGAAGTTTCAAAATTTTTTAATAAGATTGCTTAAAATGTTCCGTTAAGGTAGTATCTCCATTTGAAGAGTTTCCATAGAATGTGTTCAAAATTTAATATATGATTTTGTGAGGCATCAGACACGTTCACAAACAATTTCAGATTTTTTTGCAGCACAGATTCCAAGAAAATAATTTTTAAAGTTACATCTGTTTTCATATGCCATTTTTCTATTTGTATCTCGCGAACTCGCCCATGAGATGGCCATAAAAAATAAACTAAAGAATCAATTTTTAAGCTATCGACATTATCCTATTTTTTTTCAATTTTAGAAACAAAATTTTTCCACAAGTGTTATTTTCCATAGATTCTTTTAAAAATTCGTTTTCAAAATAGATCAACCAAAGAGGATCATGTTAACGGCTTAAAAATTGATTATTACAGTACTCTAATTTGTAATAAAGTAGGTATTGATTTTTTAACGAAAATACATTTTATTGTGGAATGGAAATACTACCTTAAAACCATTTCTAAAAACAGCATTTTTTCAGAAAAGGTATATTTTTTTGAAACCCCAAAGCATATTTAAGTCGTCAAAATTCTAACGCCGACAATTGCATCTGAAAATGTTTAATAAAACACAAAAACGCGTATCCCTCGTTTTATACCCGTCCAGATTTTGCTCAGTTCACCTTACGCCATGATTTCTCATAAATCTCATCATTTTTAAATCACCTGAGCTCATGGCGTGAGAAAGAAGTCATGTCGTGAGTTAATTTGAAATTAATGGCGCGGGGGATGCGCACAGAGCATAATGCGCGTGTTCAAAAGAAAGGTTCATGTGACAAAAATTATACCTGTGGAATGGGAGATAAAAGTAAGAAAATTAATGATTTTATATATAGTGTATATGTTACGGCTAATGTGCAAACTTGGATAGTTTATAAACTAGCTGGATAGTTTATAAACTAGCCAAACGGTCAGCTATTTTAATTGAAAACATATTTGCAACTAAATTAGCGGCTAGTTTACAAAATAACCAAGGATCTTGGCTAATCTACTTGAAATTATTAGGGAAACTAAAATAGCTGGATAGTTTGTATACTATCCAATTTAGTTTGGCTAATATGAAAACCAAAATTTCTAGTAACACAAAATAGCCAAGCTTTAGCTAGTTTGTAAACTAACCAACGAATTCTCTGGCTAATTTATTAAAAAAGTGAGGTTACGGCATTGTTTTTCGTTTTGCCGGCTTAACCGGATTTGTTTTGTGCATTTTAACGTTTTTAAAATGAATCATAGGCAAAATTTTAACGCTTCCTTGTTAGAAAACTCAACAACACAACCCTACCGACCCCGCCCCATTGCCCCCCCCCGCCCCATTGGTCAAATGGTCAAAAATGAGAGAAAAAAACCCAAACCAACCCAAACTCAACAACACAACCCAACCGACCCCGCCCCATTGAGCAACTAAAATAGGCAAAAATGAGAGGATTAGTTGGTTAGAAATTTTAGTTTTCATATTGGCCAAATTGAATTGGATATCCAGCTATTTTAGTTTCCCTAATAATTTCAAGTAAATTAGCCAAGATCCTTGGTTATTTTGTAAACTAGCCGCTAATTTAGTTGAAAATACATTTTCAATTAAAATAGCTGACAGTTTGGCTAGTTTATAAACTATCCAGCTAGTTTATAAACTATCCAAGTTTGCACATTAGCCGTGACATATATAATTTGACTCGACAAAAACTAGAACTGCGAAGATTTGCTCATTTTCTTTTATCGCAGGTAAAACTCGTGATCACGACGTGAGGTGTGAAATTCATGAAAAATAAAACAAATAGACTTATATTTGATTGTTTCAACCTTTACTTGATGAAACTCCATATTATTATTATTATTATGTAGATATAAAAACTAGTATATTTTTTAAGTTTCACGTGAAACTTTAAAAACATACTAGTTTTTATATCTACATAATAATATTCCTATAATATTATTTTGCTATAGTTTATTTTGTCTTATTTACTTTAAAATTCAATTGTCGGCGTTGGTGTTTAGACGACTCATTTAAGGATGGACACTTTAAGGTACATTACATAAATCAACTAAACTACTAAACAAAGATATCTTTCATTAATATCTCAAATAGGTAAGTGGGACAATTAACTTACTTGATCAACAATAAGATTTCCCAAAGATGAGATTCCGATGACCAGTTTGGCGCTGTCCCAAATACTTTCAGGTCGGAACACGTCTATTTCCTTTATAATTGTGGTGGGGATCTGTCCAGTACCCAAACTGACCACCACAGAAACTGGACATGCTTCATCGTCTTTACCAACAGCTTTTAATGCTAAACAATGCTCCTGAATTTCAGTTAATGCGTCCAACGTCGGGTTATTGGCTATTAGGCCACCATCTAGGTATCTTCCAAAAGCTCTAAGGGGAAAATCAATCGGTCGTTAAAATTATATTAGTCATAGATGATTCGCTACTGCGCGCGTCAATAAGATAACTCAGAAAGTAAAGTAAGAATCGAAAATTTTTTGAAAAATTTGCAGATAATAAGAAATTTTATACGGGGATACCATTGTTCTCCAATAATAAACAACTCCTGCGTCGCTCACCCCACAAACTCTACCAGCTCGGACGTAAAGATTAATTTACAAAGCTTGACACATAAATAACTATTATTTTAAATTATTGTAGGGGTTAAAAAAACTTTTTTTTTTATCTTGGAATAATACATATAGCTAGCAATTGCTGGATTCAGCAATTTATAAATTTAAAAAAAATTAAAGAATTAAAGTAGGTATTAAAATACTTGGAAAACGTTTATTATTATTTTTATTTTCATAAAAAACAAATTTATAGAAAATAAAAAAAAATGAAATAAAATTTTAGAGTGCAATTAAATTAATTAATTTAATTTAATGAAATCAAATTTTTCATTAATCCTACTTTTTTTAATTTAAAACCTTAATTTTACCTATTTTCATGTTTTTTTAATTTTTAAACTCTGTTTTTTTGAATAATTAGTTAAAAAATTGATTAGCTAGCAGAGCTGGGTCGTATTCGTGTACTTATGTATTCGAATACTGTAATCGAATACATTTTTTGTATCCGAACGCTGTATTCGAATATTTTTTAAATTTTTTATCCGTTATTCGCGTCCGTAACCTTATATCGAATGTATTCGGTATTCGATTCCATTTTTCCAATATTCGAAAACCTGAATAGTATTCTAATACAAACTGTAAGCGAATACAATTAGCAAAGTGACGAATACAATCTTTTCAAACATAAGCATATTGCGTGCGACGTTCACTTTGACAGTTCTTGTTCATTTTGATGTTGATTGGATTATTTTTTATGGTTGGTAAACGATTTTTTGCGATTTGTGTGTTCAAATAAAAATGGGGGTATATATATTTTATATATAATAATTTTTATAAATATAATCAAGAAATTAGTATTAACGTTTTCCGTTTTTTTTTAAATTCTATCTTTTACGTGATATTTCATGTAATTCCTTATGGTCCAAGATCCCAGGGCCGCCAGACCTACGTCATTTTAATACTGCTGAGATTTTTTTAATAAATGTCCTAATATGTAGTTAAAAACGTATGGGTACTTGCTAGCTTGAAAGCGGGGCCCTTTTACAGATAACGGGCACTAAAGGTACATAAAAAAGGTACCTGTCTACGTTAAAGTAATACCGCTGGTTTTCATATATGTTTTACACATTGTTATTAAAAACCAACATTCATTATTGCCAGACGCATTCCAGGGGACCTAACTTCCGCCAGACGCTTTAAAGCTCAAGAAAAAAGGGCTGAACCTACGTTATAGTAGTAATCCTGAATTTTACATATATTTTTTGAGTGATTATTTTAAGACCTTTTGTAAGCAGCCAGACCAATCCGAGGGGCCCAAGACCCCCCCCAGACGCTTTAAAGGTCAAGAAAAAAGGGGGGAACCTACGTTATAGTAGTACTTCTGAATTTTACATATTTTATTTGGTTGACTATTTTAAGACCTTTTATAAGCAGCCAGACCAACCCGAGGGGCCCAAGCTCCCCCCAGACGCTTTAAAGGTCAAGGAAAAATGGGGGAACCCACGTTATAGTAGTACTCTTGAATTTTATATATATTATTTGAGTGACTATTTTCTGATCTTTTGTAAGCAGCCAGACCAATCCGAAGGGCCTAAGCCCCCCCAGACGCTTTAAAGCTCAATAAAAAATGGAAAAATCTACGTTATAGTAGTACTTTTGAGTTTTACATATTTTATTTGGGTGATTATACAGACCAATCCGAAGGGCCTAAGCCCCCTGAATATTTTATATATTATTATTATATATTTATTATTATATAATTTAAGACTTTTTGTAACTACCCAGACCATTCCAAAGGGCCTAACCACGCCCAGACACGATAAAAGGTACGCTGTGAGTACGAGAGCAAGGCATGCATGTGAGTGCGAGTGATAGTATTAGATGGCTTTATTAGACAGCTTCATGAAATTTAAGTTGTGTATTTGTCTTTATGGAATTTTTTAATAATGATTTAATAATATTTAAATTCTTGTTATAAAATTAGTTTTAATTAAATTATTCAAAATTTCAAAGATTTTCAAAATTTTCAGGATATCCAAAATTTTGAAAATTTCAATTTTTTTAAATATTTTCCAAAATTTTCATAATTCCCACCCAAAATTGTACCAACCAGGATGAACAATGGCACTTAACGGTGTTAAAATAGCCACCCAAATAATATATATATACATAATACAATATTACAGCCTATGATCTTATAAGGTATACTTTTTATCGTGTCTGAGGGGGGTTAAGCCCTTCGTATTAATCTGGCTGCTTATAAAAAGTCTTAAAATAGTCACCCAAATAATTTATATATAAAATTCAGGAGTACTACTATAACGTAGGTTCCCCCTTTTTCCTTGACCTTTAAAGCGTCTGGGGGGGCTTGGGCCCCTCGGATTAGTCTGGCTGCTTAAAAAAGGTCTTAAAATAGCCAACCAAATGAAATATGTAAAATTCAGGAGTACTACTATAACGTAAGTTCCCCCCTTTTTCCTTGACCTTTAAAGCGTCTGGGGGGCTTGGGCCCCTTGGATGAGTCTGGCTGCTTATAAAAGGTCTTAAAATAGTCAACAAAATAAAATATGTAAAATTCAGGAGTACTACTATAACGTAGGTTCCCCCCTTTTTCCTTGACCTTTAAAGCGTCTGGGGGGGCTTGGGCCCCTTGGATGAGTCTGGCTGCTTATAAAAGGTCTTAAAATAGTCAACAAAATAAAATATGTAAAATTCAGGAGTACTACAAAAACGTAGGTTCCCCCATTTTTTATTGACCTTTAAAACGTCTGGGGGGGCTTGGGCCCGTCGGATTGGTCTGGTTGCTTATAAAAAGTCTTAAAATAGTCACCCAAATAAAAGAAGTTAAATTCAGGATTAGTACTATAACGTAGGTTCCTCTATTTTTTCTCGCGCTTTAAAGCGTCTGGGGGGGCTTAGGCCCTTGGATTGGTCTGGCTGCTTACAAAAGATCTTAAAATAGCCAATTAAATAGTATATATAAAATTTAGGAGTACTACTATAACGAAGGTTCCCCCATTTTTCTTGGCCTTTAAAATATGTAAAATTCAGAAGTACTACTATAAAGTAGGTTCCCCCCTTTTTCCTTGACCTTTAAAGCGTCTGGGGGGGGCTTGGGCCCCTCGGATTGGTCTGGCTGCTTATAAAAGGTCTTAAAATAGTCAAACAAATAAAATATGTAAAATTCAGGAGTACTACTATAACGTAGATTCCCCCCTTTTTCCTTGACCTTTAAAGCGTCTGGGTGGGGCTTGGGCCCCTCGGATTGGTCTGGCTGCTTACAAAAGGTCTTAAAATAATCACTCAAAAAATATATGTAAAATTCAGGAGTACTACTATAACGTAGGTTCAGCCCTTTTTTCTTGAGCTTTAAAGCGTCTGGCGGAAGTTAGGTCCCCTGGAATGCGTCTGGCAATAATGAATGTTGGTTTTTAATAACAATGTGTAAAACATATATGAAAACCCGCGGTATTACTTTAACGTAGACAGGTACCTTTTTTATGTACCTTTAGTGCCCGTTATGTGTAAAAGGGCCCCGCTTTCAAGCTAGCAAGTACCCATACGTTTTTAACTACATATTAAGACATTTATTAAAAAAATCTCAGCAGTATTAAAATGAAGTAGGTATGGGAGCTCTGGGATCTTACTCTATTAGTTTTTATAAAAGATCGCGCTACAGCCGCTATTTATATATTGCACAAGTTAAACCCAAGGATTGTATACAGACTGTATAGAATCAAGTAAGTAAGGCTGGAGACAAGGATGACAAATTATATTCTGATCAGAGAAAAAGAAACAAACTTTAATTGGGCGCAGTTTAAACCAAGCCATTCGTAATTACGAACCATAGTTGCCAGGTTGTTCTAAATCAGAATAGAACGATTATAATTATTTAATAAATAGTTCAATTTTATTTGTTTAAAACTTTAAAAATAACAAAAAAATTAATAATATGTCAAAAATAATTTAATTTAGTTAATTTTCTTACTTTTAATATTATAAAATAAGAAAAACAACCCTTTTAGGAAACAATAATAGCATATGGCAACAGCGCGGCATGCAGCCAGATACAAGGGCATGCAGTTTGATCTACTGTTTGTTCAGAAGCTCCGACGCAGTCGTAGGAAAATGTGTATAGTTTTTAAGAAATACATTTTCGCCATTAACTGGAATTTAATGGATTTTAAACAATACTTAGTTTTTATTTGCAGAAATGCATTAAAACAAAACAAACGAATTCAATAAAAATAAAACCTATAAATTCTCAAACAAAAATAATTCTAAAATAACGAAAATACCTTTTTTTCTAAATTAAATGTTCAAATAGACCACCAGCAGCAGTTAAACAATACCCTAGCCTATCATAAAAATTCCTGCGCACGTTAAACAGCATTTCAGGACTAATATCTCCCAATGTATTAAAGATTTAATCCCTACCACAGTGGGCGGGGTTTGGCACTTGTTTTATTTAAGTGCATATATTCGTTTTAATACACACTGTATAATCCTTTAATCCTTTAATTTTAAACATTATAAAATATCATAAAAAATCCTTTGTCCATTTAAAATATTCTTGCTTGACAAATATATTTTATGCTTTTAAAAAATCAAAAATTTTAAACATAAAAGTATTTTATTTTGGTTTTAGTAACATTTACAAATCTATATAGAATAAAAATTCGAAAAAAATATTCGGATACTTGGATTTAAATACATTTTTGTTAAAAGTATACAGTATTTCTATTCTTTCTTTTCGAATACAATTAATTTATTCGCATCCGATATTCGAATACATTAATCCTGTATCTGAGCCCAGCTCTGCTAGCTAGCTGTACTATAGTAAATTAATATTAGTAATATGTACATCTAAATAAATAATAAATTTTATTCTTACAGGACTGAAAAACTTGTATGAAAAAAAATATTGTCCAAAGGACAAAATTTTGACAAAATATTTCAAAAAATTAGTTTTATCATACTAAATGCTTTTTTGTGGGAATATTTTAAATATTTTATAAAATATAATGTTCATATTCTGTAAAATGATTTACATCTTCTCACAAGAATGTATTTTGAACTTTAAAATTGATTTTAAAAAATGACTTGTCAAAATTAAACTTTTAGACTTGTACTAACTGTTAATATTTTCACCAATTTAATTGTAATCCCTAAATACATGGGAAAACTTAAAAAAACTAAAAAATATTATTTAATGCAATTATGAGTGATTTTGCTTACCTAAAGTATGTTGGTGCAGCTCCGGTGGCCCTCCCAACCTCCCACATGTACTGGGTTCTGGGAGGTCGAGGCGCCTCGAACGGCGAGTCGTGCTTCACGCCCAAAATCTCGCTCGGGCTGTCGTAGTTCCTGAACAAATGGAGTTCCACGGGTTTTCTGTCGGCCAACACGCCCGTTATCATCAGTTTCGGATGCCTTATGTCCGACATAACGGTCTCCGTTCCGAACGTGTCTTTCAGGATGTTCTCCAAAGCTTCGCTCGAATACGGCCGAATGCCGACGAACGTCATCTCCTTCAGCCGGAAGTAGAGACACAGGCATTCTTGCATTGTTTTGCCGGAAGCTATGGCAAGACCTAAAAGACAAAAGTTAATAAGTTAGCATGTAGTATAAATTTTAAATGAATGAATAGGTTTAGGGTCATTCCATGATAAACGATACTAAGGGTGAAAATATATGTTCTTTTCGCATTAAATCTTATGAATTTTAAAAGAAAACATTCCAAATTATAATGTGCGACAAAAAAAACTAGAATGAATACGTAGTTTTTAAGTTAATTAGTCTTCAAAATAAGACAATAAAAATCCTGTTTAATTTGGACTACACAACACCTACGGTGCAAATATATAACATCACAAAACTTATTAACTGTAATACATTAAAACATCTAGAACAATTGAAATTGGCTTTCAGTTGTAAAAATAATGTTCACAAATTAAATCAAACTGTTCAATATAACAAATACTTTCATAAAGACTTTCAACAAGGAATAGAGAAGACTTCCGAAATGAACAGAGGATGACCAACAAAACACAAAGCTCGCCATTTTTTCAAAGCATACAATCCTATAATAGACTCCCGCAAGAATTAAAACAAATAGACGAATGGAATAGTTTTATTGTGAAAGTAAAGGCATATCTGATCTCTGGACATTTTTCTTAAACTTGTTTGCATACATAAAAATATGATAAATTTATCTCTTTGTTATGATTCATATATATTTTATTACTTTATAGCTTAGAATCACAGTTTTTATTTAACTTTTTTTTGTTATATTATAAGTTGTTACCTAATTTTAGATTTTTTCTGTATGTATAAACATACAATAGGCCTCGGTAGTACCGAGTCGGTACCAACTGTTTTTGAGGTCATAAATAAATAAATAAATAAAATCAAAAATCTGCGCTCAAGTAAACTGGCTGAATGAATATTGTGCCTCTTATTGGAAATACGAAAAAAAACTGTTAATCTGTCAACCGTTTTGCCACGTAGTGATTTGGTGGATTGCGTCACAGTCCCGCAAAAATTGATAATTATATCATTATGTGTGTTTTCTTCCTACTTTGCCACTGTAACACCCGAAATGAAAAATCATGTAATTGTTTTATTGTTATACCTTACAGATTGATTGATTTAGTAAAAGGAACGTTATGGTGGTAATGATTTTAAATACTTACTAATATCTGAGCATGAGACTAATTTGATATGTGTTTTTCTTGATAAAAAACGTTTCGGGTGTTACAACTTTTTCATATGTCGATATGTGTGTGTGTGTATGTGTGTATTGCTTGAAGAATGCAATAAGTATTATTTTTAAGGCTCTTTCGACGGCCCACTAGCGCCGCCATCGGAAAAGCAGTCAAACCTCTTTTAATAAGGTGTGACTGCTTTTCCGATGTTGTTGTGGAACATACCGAAATTTCGGTATTTATACCTAAATAGCAACGGACCTACCAAAATACCGAATACTTAGATTTTCGTCAATAACTATGTTTCTACCGATTTTCGTACCGATTTTTTGGCAATAATAACGATTTTACATTTTTTGCCGATTTATCAATTGCACCCACAAAGCTGCTTAAGTTATGTTTAGGGAGAATTCATTCTATTTATGTTTATTTGTTACCAACTTATTTTGTATTACCTATAGTACCTATAGTACTTATAAAGATTAATAAAACACCGATTTTGACCATATATGTTTAATTTTTGTACTTGTAACACCCGAAACAGAACCATGGTAACACCCGAAATAAAGTAAAATTTTATTTAAAAAATAGTAAAACGTGATTATGTGGTATATAGTTAGTAAATATTATACTTTTGAAAGCCTGTAATTTTTAGGAATGTTTCCGTAAGAAAATTCGCTGAATTTCAAATAAATGTAACAATGGTCAGGACATAGAGGCAGAATCGTGAAACACCCGAAACAAACACTTTTCGACGTATAAAATCGTTATCCTATATGCTAAACTGTACTAATTTTACAATTTAGATAAACTACTAAAACCGTAGAGAATAAGGCACTTTAATTGCTAAAATGTTATTTCAAAATACATAAAAAATTTAGACTTTGGTTGAACAAATGTAAGACCCGAAACGATGGAATGACCCTTTAATTAACTTACCCAATATACCTCCTGTGCTAGTTCCAGCAATCCAATCGAAACATTGCCCAATTGGCTTTCCAAAGGCATTTTCCAATTCAAGTAGAGTCTGAACCAACACTAATCCCCTAATACCACCACCATCTAGACACAAAAGTCTACCGTGTTTCGGGAATTTACCGTTTCCTACCTTAGAAGATGCCACCTAAAATAATTTAAAAGTAACAGGGACATCATAAAATTAAAAAAAAAGAAGTGTAATATGACTGACACAACAATTTTTTTTAAATTTTATATTGTCCCTACTAATACTTTTATACAATTACACTTTGTTAATACTAAAATTTTGCATGGTGGTCCTATAAATTTCATTGTTTAATTTTGTTTGTGCCGCCCCCTAAAACTTCTAAATAGATAAAAGTTTGAACTCTTAATATTAATATTAAAATATTACATGAAGGAAGTTTTCTATGGGAAATTTCGATTAAACTTTGAATTTTTATAACTCAGAAACTGTTTAATTTACAAGACTATTATTCTTTCTAGAAAATTTTACGCTCTACAAAAAAGGTCAAATACAAGATTAACGTTAGTCGGGCCGTTTTAATATCAAGACTCAAACATTGACCTGTTTAAAATCATTCTACTATAACACAGGAGAACTTTTTTTTGAATTTTTATAACTCGAAAACCGTTTATTTCACAGGATTAAAAATCATACATTTTTTAGGACCTTTGAAGGACCATCCTAGTGTTGCATATACAGTAGGGTGATTCAAAAAAAGCCTTTTTTTAAAAATGAACCCGCACTGGCCTAAATTATAAAGATTACATTAAAACTAAAAGATTGATACCAAAAAATCCAAATTCGATGAATATTTAGAGGTCGCTCAAATCGATTTTCGTATTTTTGCACATTCGAGCCGCGAAATTATTACTGCGCAAAATAGTAAATAACTCCGTTAGTTTTTAATCGATATTATTAAAAATTTAAGGGTTACCTAGTTTTTTAATACCCTCTGAGACAGTGTATTGAACTTTACGAAAAAAAAAATTTTTTCATGAAAAAAAAATAATTTGTTAATAAAAACGTATCATCTTATAAAATAAGCAACAATTGGAATCGCACTATGATGGTACCGTAAAAAAACTAAGAAAATAACACTTAAATTATTTAGCATACATAAAACCTGCCGAAAGAAATATTTTATTTGATTTATATAAAACACAACCTAAAAATAATTAAGTTATTCAAATTTTTCCCATTTTCATACTATTTTATAAATAATTTATATCCGTTTTATTAATTATGACGTATTTTTATAAAATTTCTTTATTTTTGATACCATATTTAATTAATTACACTAAGTAGTTATTAATTTATGTCCTTTTTATAATTAAAATTAAAAAAATCCACTGCTCTACATCTTTTTCTTTGCAATGATTGTTTGAAATGTTAATTTTTTCAACCATTTTTTCTTTTGTTTCAGTAGGTACTCTTTTATTAAAAAATGCCAAACAAATTAGCTCTTCTATTTGCAATTCTTTATTTTTGTAAACATGAAGTTCATGAAGTGTTTTCAAATAATTTTTGGGCGCGCAAGTTGCATTTGGAGCTTGGAACCAGGCAAATATGTAAACCGAAATAATAAAAATACAAATTCTACGCAATGACTTATTTTCATTGTTAGTGAGTTTAAATTAATCCCGAAATAAGAAAATCTTTAGAGAGTATATAGCTTTGTTCATCCATCGGGCATGCTATCTATCTCCACCAAGATATAAGATGTTTTTCTTTAATTTCTCAACAAATTAGTTTTGGTACTTAGACGCTTTTGAATTAAGTAAATAATATATATATATATATATATATATATACAGGGTGTCCCACAATTAGTGCGACAAAATGAAGGTGTATTGTCTACAGACCCCCAGGAATTCCAGAAAATTGATTAAAAAATGTTTCCTTCATTATTTAAAAAGATACAGGGGAGTCATGTTTTCTTTGTATGGCAACATTGCCTCATAACAAAGTAATAGTTTAATTTTTAATCATCATGACAACAAACAACAATGTTAACATGATGATTAAGAATTAAACTATCCCCTTTTTTTGAGGCAATGTTGCCATATAAAGAAAATATGACTCCCCTGTATCTTTTTAAATAATGAAGGAAGAATTTTTTAAACAATTTTCTGGAATTCCTGGGGGTCTGTAGATAATACACCTTCATTTTGTCGCACTAATTGTGGGACACCCTGTATATATATATATATATATATATATATAAAATTTATCAACTACCTGGTAGTAGGTCCTACTATCAAAACTTAAGAATAATAATTATTATTGTGGTATGTCAATTTAGCAACATCTGGACAGAATCAAATAATTTTGGTATCAAAATTTGAGAATTGTTGTATGTCAATAATTTTAATAAAATTTAAATTTCTGCTTAAGCCATATCAATGCAGTAAATAATTTTGTAGTTATTTTATTTTAGTTGTAAAAAGGACCTAATTTAATAACTACCTAGTTTAATTAATTAAATATGGTATCAAAAATAAAGAAATATTATAAAAATACGTCATAATTAATAAAACGGATATAAATTATTTATAAAATCGTTTGAAAATGGGTAAAATCTAAATTACTTAATTATTTTTAGGTTATATTTTATATAAATCAAATAAAATATTTCTTTCGGCAGGTTTAATGTATACTAAATAATTTAAGAGTTATTTTCTTGATTTTTTTATGGTACCATCATAGTGCGATTCCAATTGTTGCCTATTTTATAAGATGATACGTTTTTATTAACAAATTATTTTTTTTCATGAAAAAAAATTTTTTTTCCGTAAAGTTCAATACACTGTCTCAGAGGGTATTAAAAAACTAGGTAACCCTTAAATTTTTAATAATATCGATTAAAAACTAACGGAGTTATTTACTATTTTGCGCAGTAATAATTTCGCGGCTCAAATGTGCAAAAATACGAAAATCGATTTGAGCGACCTCTAAATATTCATCGAATTTGGATTTTTTGGTATCAATCTTTTAGTTTTAATGTAATCTTTATAATTTAGGCCAGTGCGGGTTCATTTTTAAAAAAAGGCTTTTTTTGAATCACCCTAATATACAGGGTGCGCACTAAGGGTATACCACGCTGTGAGGAGGGGTTATTTTAAAAATAAAAAAGTCCGATTTTTGAGTGTTGTAAATGAGGGAACGTTCTAGATTGTGATCGGAGAACGCTCGCGAAGCTTCAAATTTAATAATATATGAATATGATAAAAGTGGCAACATTGCGACCCGTTTCGCGAGAATCAAAGTTGACGTGGCCGCTGGTTTTGTTTATTGGATTTTTTTGTTAAATTATCAATATTTTTGGGCCAAAAAACTATTCTAACTTAATTTAAAAAATGTAGTGATAAGTTTTTATTTTTTTAAGGGGTATTTATATAATATAATCAAACCCAGTTTTATCAAAAACAAAAAAAAATATTGACAAGAAATGGCCAGAAATTCAACTCAGAATTATTATTTTAACAAATATACAATCTAGAAAAATATTTTCTTAACATAGATTTTAAATCTTGGCTCAAAAATGAATTTTATTACAACTTTTTCTTTTATATGATGCATTTTCTTCCCGAAGTAGATTCCAAACATAGTCACCCATCATTGTCGCATCCCACCTTCCTTGTTATCACTTTTCCATTGCCCGAATATCTTGATGGAATCTTTCTTCATGTTATCGCTGACATCTCCCAGATTTTCCCGGAAAAAGTCATGATACAAATGCAAATAGTGTAGGTACTTTCAACAACATGCGGCATCCCATTTCTTTAAAACTTCCTAATTACTTTGATAAGGTCAGTATAATTTTCTCTTTTGTGGTTACCAAGGAAACCTTTCATTTTAAATCTCACGTTAACTTTTGAGTTTAAAAAATATGTATTATAATCCAATTTTTGTTAAAAAAAAATATTCATTTTTTTTTACATGTTGTCCACAAAGAAAGTTTAATGGCCAAAATCTTACGTGAGGGATAGTGGGGGGTCTACCACATCTCACCAAGGAGGAGGAAGGGGTCTAAATTATCAGAAAAATGCCTCACTTAATTAATGGATGTCCCCTAATGACACTCAAAGCCATCAACACGATCTGACGGCTGTCGTTGAAAATTTGACAGTTTGAAAAAACAAATGTATGTTACGTGATCGGGGGCATGGCCTACTACGATTTGTGTAATAAAATCCAGATAAACAAATATCATGTTACGTAGTGTAATTAATTAATTAAGAATTGACCCTAATATAACAATTAAGATGTACAATAGCATAATAGAGCCAAAATCTAATGTAAAATACTTGAGAATCACTCTATTGTCCAGTCAATTTTAATCTTCACTTTTCCCTGTCAAAGAAGAAAACAATAACAAGGGCCAGCCAATTTAGAGGACTTACATACAAAAAAAAGGCATCAATGATGAATAAAAAAATATACACCTTAATATGCAGACCAATTCTGTAATATAAATGTATCTTACCTAATAATGCTCGTAAACCAGCAATAATTATTATTGCTTAAGCAATATTAAAACTGGGGAAACCCCATCAATCCGAAAAATCTCACAAATGAGACATCCAAACAATTCTCTGCACAACTTTCCCAACGACCTTTTGAATGCTACTATAATATCTATATCTATAATATCTTACCAATTATGGAAAGATTTACTAAACTATCAACAAACTTTATTACCAAGGGCGACATTCTTAGCGAATAGTTTGGAAGTACAAGGCAACAGAAAATTCAAGCACCCAGAAAAGACTATATGGGAACATCTTCAACAAATAAGAGACCACATATTAATTAATTAATTTAAATTTATAATTGCTTTTTGTTTTTTTTTCACAAATGTTCAAGATATGCTCACCGGCTGAAGGACCTCGGACAATGTCCATTTGTGAAAATTGTAAAAACTGTATTTACTTTTCTGCAATAAAGCTCATTTATTATTTATTATTTTTATTAAGAGGTAGGTAAAATAACTTTAAAAAATTATAAAATTGTTTAAAAATGTCAAATCAGTAGGTACAAAAATGTTTATCCAATTACTACCATGTATATATACAAACATGGGATTAAATGCAGATTATTAAATTAAATGGATAAAATTTATGTACTCTATCTTTTATAGAAATATAAGTTTTTATTCCTCAATACTTTGGAATTTTTAAACAATTTCCTAATTTTTTAAAACTATTTTACCTCTTGATTAATTAATAAAAAGTGTACATAAAACCAAATTTAAAGCATTTATTTCTTAAAAGTCGTGTGGAAAATAAAATTAAAATTTTGAAAGTAGGTATTTTAAAAAACCCTCCCGAATCGCCTTAAACCATTTATATTTACTCTGTGTCGTGTAGTTCCTTGTTTATAACTTAGGGCCTCTAAGTTAAGGGTCCTTTATAAAGTACGTCACACGTTTAGGGGGGTGGGGGTCAAGACATTGTGGCATCGTTTCTATTTTCTTGACATGTAATGTAGCTACTTTATGTACGGCCCCTTATAACTAACATAAAAGAGTTTCTTTAATAAAGAAAAGATTTTAACACCTGTTAAATTATTTAAAAAATTGGTAATCTTCTCGAGAAAAATAAGAAACATTGACAAAAAAAGTTCAATGGCCTAATTCTGCTATGCTGTTGATTAATTCTAGGAAATTTCTAGTTTATGCTCGTTTTTTCTCGTTTGGGCTCAATTTGCGTTTTCCAAAAATAAATGCTCGAGCATTTTCCATCTCTGGGAATATTCGAATTTACAAATTATTTGAGACGAATCGAATCGAATAAAATCAAACTATTTGAATAAGAAAAACGATTACAATACTCGAATTATGGAGCCCACACAAGAAGAACAAACTAGAATAAGAAAATTGCGTAGTCTTTATTCAGGATTAGCGGTGCTGATTTCCATTTTGTACTGAACTATTTGAATACTATTAAACAAATTTCAAAAGTTTTGTTGTTTTTTATGATCAAAATACCCCATCATATTTTAAAATATACTTACATCCATACCAGCAACAGCCAACATTTGATTTAAAACCTCCCTATTGGTTGGTCCCATCACTTCTGGCGGGGGAATCCCATCAAAAGTGCCGTCATGTTTGCAACCCTGCGTACAGTTTACCATGTCGGGGTTACAACGTTTGGCACCCACCGCGTGCAAATAGTACAGAAATTTTTGATCTTGGTCTGAAACAAAGTTTCTTAGAATTATTTTTAATTTTTTATTAATTATCAATTTTCTTCAAATACTAGGTATATACACTCATCGAAAAACAACGACCACCAGAAATTGACAACAATTTTAATGTACTCTTCTATAACGATGATATGATGGACATTTATATATTATTTTAGCATATACAGGGTGCAAAAGTATGAAAAGTTCCAAAATTTGTGACATCCTGTGCATCAGCAATAACAGCGGATATAAATTAAAATCATACTGTAGTCCTATCTATATAGTCCGATATAGGTAGGGGAGTTATTTTTAGTAAAATAAAAAAATAACTTCTAACGAATAGTTTTTGAGTTATAAGGTTTTAAAATAGAACAATTTTTTGAAAAATAAGGGGTTTTATGACACGAACTACCAGAAAATACATCTGTCAACCATGTTAATTTTAAGTCGCTTTAAACAAATATATTATCTTTGGCTGTAGATGAAGGGTATATTTTGTTTTCATAACAACCGTTTCTTAAATCGGTTTAACAAATAAACAGCGTTGCCGAGTTTTTCAAACTTAAATAATAAATATCTCAAAAATCTAGTCAAAACAAAGTTTTATACTTAAAATAACCCTCCCTACAACGTGGTATACTATTGGACCAATAGGATTGGTCCGCCATTTTTCCGACACCCTCTATATATAATAACATAACAATAATTAAAAGTAGAAGGCAATGTTTTGAAATATGTAGTATAGTAACATTTCTTTAAATCTTTACCTTGAAAATTTGTTAAAAACCAGATACCTACGCATTTTCAACAGTGATACACAGGGTGTCCAAAGTTAGAGCTACAAATTAGCAAATTAGTGGCATTTTTTCTTCTGATTAAAATGGTGAAAACAAAAAACAGTTGAACGTCGGGTTTCCGAAATATTCACAAAAATAAAACAAAATTTAATGTATATTTTTACATATTTTGAAAGAGAATTTAATTAAAACAAAATATTATAATTGCATAACTACCCTAAACTTAAAAATAAACCATTAATTGAACTTTCTGATTCAAGTGCTTATTAATGTTTATTTTAAAGTTTAGGGTAGTTAAGCAATAAAATTTTTTGGTTCCACATTAAATTGTCTTTCAAAATATGTAAAAATATACAGGGTGTTCTATTTAATTATTTTTTTATTTTTGTGAATATTTCGGAAACTCGACATTCAATTGGTAATTTAACCGACTTTGTAGCTCAAATAATAACAGAGTTAGAATGGTAGCAATAGTGAGCAGATAACTTTGGACATAATGTATATTATATATACATACAGTGTGACCCATTTGTTTGCGACTCACCCCTGTAAAATCTTTATTTATTGTGCGATTTTAACCGGATTTGTTTTAAAGTGTAGATCTTGATAAACTGTATTTTTGGAACAAAAAAAGCAATATTTTTACAAAATACAAGGCCTTACTACATTGTAAGAGTAAATTTTTAGGAATTAGTATTAGCGATTTTATTAAACAAAACTTAAGCGCGGCACAGGATTCGCCACCCCTCAAAATAAATAAAATAAAATGTCAATTTCGTGTTCAGTGTCATACAAATTATCTTAAAAACGGTGCGTAAGCAAACCCATGTTAATAGGAACTTTTTTCTTAGAATTAGCCAAGAATACATAAGTGTGAACCATTTGTTTGCGACTCACCCCTGTAAAATCTTTATTTATTGTGCGATTTTAACCGGATTTGTTTTAAAGTGTAGATCTTGATAAACTGTATTTTTAGAGCAAAAAACGCCATATTTTAACAAAATATCTGCCTACTATGTCAGTTTTTAAGAGTAAATTTTTAAGAATTCAAATTAGCGATTTAAAAAAAAAAATCTAAACACGGCACTAGTTTCACCACCCCTCAAAACGACCCTATAGGTACTAAATTTTATTGAAACATTTTAATAAGAAAAATGCACAATAATAACTACAAAAATTTATTCTGTCAAGTTATACACAAAAAAAAACATTGAAATAAAATTAAACTAATAGTAACATGGTACTATTACTATAAGTTTAATTTTATTTCAATGTTTTTTTCATGGATAACTTGACAGGATAAATTGTTGTAGTTATTATTGTGCATTTTTCTAATTACAATTTTTTAATAAAATTTAGTAAAGGGTCGTTTTGAGGGGTGGCGAATCCTGTGCCGCGCTTAAGTTTTGTTTAATAAAATCGCTAATACTAATTCCTAAAAATTTACTCTTACAATGTAGTAAGGCCTTGTATTTTGTAAAAATATTGCGTTTTTTGTTCCAAAAATACAGTTTATCAAGATCTACACTTTAAAACAAATTCAGTTAAAATCGCACAATAAATAAAGATTTTACAGGGGTGAGTCGCAAACAAATGGTTCACACTTATGTATTCTTGGCTAATTCTAAGAAAAAAGTTCCTATTAACATGGGTTTGCTTACGCACCGTTTTTAAGATAATTTGTATGACACTGAACACGAAATTGACATTTTAAAAGCAAATTTTGAACTGCAATGGTCTTTGGAGAAAACCGGCATTTTATGAAAAAAAAAATAAAAAGTAGCAAAGTAGTCATATAAATTGGGGTAAAAAAAACACGTTACCCTAAAATCTCCGTCACTGGCAAAAAAAATAAATAAATTAGGGTTCAACAAGTAGCTTATATTAGTGAAAATATTTGCACAAAAGCTGAGTTCATTTTTTGACACACCGTATCTCGAAAACGGCGCTTTTGCGTTAATGTTAATAGGAAATTTATTTTTTTAATTATCCAAATAATCAAATCCTTCATTTTCCGACAAATGTTTTGAAACACCCTGTATAATATATTATAATTATAATCACAGACTTGTGGTCTGTGATTATAATAAATTATGAAAAAATTACCTATTGACAAAACAAAACAAAGAAAAATCAAGCATAGATTAGAATTTTAACGTCAGCAGCGAAACATCTAAGTAAGTCGCTTACCTTTTGTTAGCAGATGCCTTGCAGTCTCGCCTGCATTATTAACCAAGTCGAAGTTGGCCCCGAAAACTATTAGGCACTGAATGATCCGCAAGTTTCCTTCTTTAACGGCCAAATGTATCGGACGATTGCCGTCGCAGTCGCCCAGATCAGGGTTCGCCTGCCTGCTCAGCAACGCGACTGCGCAGTCGAGGCGATTTCGCAGCACCATCATGTGCAACGGAGTTTTCTGTTCGAAATTCGTCGAGTCTATGTGGCAATTCATGTCGACTAGAGCCTCTATAACAGGTCTTGACGACGACCAATGCAAAGGCGTGCCGCCGAATTTCATGTCTTTTTGATAGAGGACGCTCGATGGGTGATCTTGGAGGAAATTACCAACATATCCTAAGTATATATTTTATTAAAAAAATGCTTTTGTTCTTAATCTTTTTTAGTGGTTAAGGTTCCTTTATGGAGCGTTCAAGTATAACGTAACGCGCTAAGGGTTAAATGTTACGGTGCGTTACTGGGAAGGGGTCAAACGCTGTGGTATGCAGAAATTTGAAATGCATTTTTTGCTTTGACCTTTTTCACCAACACAGAAATTTTATTATAATTTCAGTTGATCGTCAAAATTTAGCGTTACGTAACATACCAGAGTTGGTGGGTTGTCAAATCATAAGGCTTGTTATCCGAAATAATGGAAGCAAAGCAATATTTTGAGAAAACGTCGAATATTCACAAACGATGATCAATGATATTTTGATTGTTTTAAACATAGAACATGTTAGTGTATACCAACTAGCTAGTTTGTTTACACTAACATTTTCTATGTTTAAAACAATCAAAATATCATTGATCACTACAGTGTTTCCTGTAATTGGGAAATTTTATTAGTTTAAAAAAATTCGGTTTTGCATTATTTTTTTGAATTCAAGAAAACCTTCGTGCGGATGTCACTGGCATAATTTAAAAAAATGTATATACAGTATATACATTTTTTTATATACTTAGGGATGTAAAATGACCGTCATTTATTTATGTGACACGTTACATGTCATATTTGTCATTTATTGCCATTTATGGTCATTTTTATTTCCTTATCTTCAATGTAGAAGCATCAGAGAAGTGACTTAAACATTAATAGACATAAACTTAAACATAAATTTATTTCAAAAAAACAAAATTTAAACAAAATCTAAAATTTAATAAAAGTCCTAGTAGAATATAAAAATATCTATCTGGTTTATAACAAGTTATAACTAAATTTTTGTCAGTTTTATAGTGATCGACATCAAAGTTTTTTGTGCCATATATTTTTGTGACTGTCATATATTTTAATTAAGGTCAGTTATTTTTTTGACAGTCAAAAATTTAAATTAAAAAAAAATAATGACAAAGGTTTCATAACAATATATAACATGACCGTCATTTTCATTATGACTGTGACATGACATTGTCATAAAAATTTGCTTACATCCCTATATATACTACGCCTAAAATAGGATTAAAGCGAATTTAATTTCTTAAAATAATAATAATAATAATAATAATAAATGTCTTTATTGATTATAAAAGATACAATAAATGGGCGAAGTTCAGCTAATACAAAGCATGTATTTGCTGCTCTTCCACTTAACCCTTAAAAAGCAGTTGCATAAAAAGTTTTCAAAACAAAAAAAATAATTACTTGTAAAAATTCCCTAAATTTTTATTAAATAGTGCTAAAAATTTTGTACCACATATTTAGAGAGTTCAATAAAAAGTTTTGTGGTAATTACATATAACTTGTTTTTAAAATAAGACGCCACATAATTAGTGGAATAAATTGGTGGTTTCAATTATAATTATAATTAACACAAAAGGATCATTCAAAATGCACATAATTAACATCTAAAACTAATGGAATTTGCTAAAACATCCGATCTTTTAAACCTGACATAAACAAAATTAATTATATTAGAAATAATATTCGTTTACAACCTTTATAATAATATTTTTGGTTGTCAACAACAAGACACAAGACATTATTAAAACCACTAATTTATTCCACTAATTACGAGGTTCTGAATGAGTTTTTTTAAATTTAACTTTTAGTATTTTATTGTCAGGTTTCCTAATAAATAAATAAATAAAGGTGTGTATGTGAAATACTGAATTTAATTTATAAACAAGTTTTATTATTTTAATGTTGACTAAATGTTACATTGGATTGTTCTGTGATTACCTGGTTCAATGTTGTCATTTTCAGAGTTAACAGCAGTTTTATTAACATCAGCTCCTGCCAATAACAAAGCTCTAACACAGTCAGGCTTATCAGCCAAACATGCCATATGCAAAGGGGTATAACCGTTTTTATTTCTGGCATTTAAACATCTTGGCGGAGAACCTTGCGTCAAAACCTAACAAAAAATAGTTTAAAGAAAACGTCTGTGAAAAAAATTAAATAAAAATTACCAAAATAATTTCCTTGGTGGTGCTAGCTGCATAGTGAAAAACGGAATTCGCTTCATTATCCAGATGTTCCAAGGAACAGTTTAGGTTCACCAGTATCTGTACAGTTTTAAGATTGTGGGTTGTGATGGCCACTTGCAGTGGCGACATTCCAGTTTCAGCATCCGAACTATTTAAGAAACTACTGACTTTTGGGTTGTTAAAAGACTCATAGAGAGCGAAATTGGCAGCCAAATGCGCGATCGTCCACGTAGGATGTTCGGCAAGAATGTCTGATATTTTTTGCAGCCCTGGTAAGTTACACATCTAAAAGGAGTTTTAAGATAACTTATAAATTTACAACAAAGTTGCTGAAATATACTGCCCTACTATGGAGAAAGGCAGTAACTGCAAAAAATGCAAAATGCGTTTTCTTGTGCTATGGTAAAGCTATGGACATTTTGTAACCGAATTCAACACAGAAATGCAGTCAAAATATCTCATAAGTTAAAAAAATCAATTAAATACCTACTGCTTTTTATAAAAATGTAGTTTATGCCGGTTTATGCTAATTTTCCACAAATTTCTTGTTTAGCAGTTACTGCCTTTCTCCATAGTAGGGCAGTATACTGTTCCCATTCTGTTGTTATAATGATGAATTGTACTAACTACAGGGTGTCGTAAAAATCACGCACTAACATTATATGTGGGGAGCAAACATTCAAAAATCGATAAATCCATTTTAACTTATTTTGAGACATTGGCCAAAAATGTGTAAAGCCAAGCCCCACAAATATTTAAAAATTATTAAAAGGGGATGTTGCTCCTGTTTGGTTATCTCTGTTTCGGTTTTCGGTTTTTACTTAAAAGTCAAAAGACTACCAAAATTAGTAAGAATCGGTTCTATTCTCTTAAAATGTTAAAATGGATTTATCGGTTTTTGCATGTTTGCTCCACATGTAAAGGCGTATCTCGTTTTTTTGTGTTAAGCAAAAATATGTTAACCTTTCTTATTTAATATGGTATGTTTTTTTATTTGAAATTTGACACATTTAATTCGTTAATTTGTTAATGTTCGTACTGTATATAAATAAACTTTGGTATTTTTAATATTTAAAATTGGTACTCCTGTTTAATGCCTTAATTTTTCTTTGACATTTTCATTTAAATGTTAGAATTATAATAAACAATGCCAAAGACAACAGAAAACTCTAAACAAAAAGAAATTTTAAAAACCAAACAACCTTTTAATGAAATAATTAATTTGTGCTGTGTAAATCCCACATACTTCCAAACATATACAAATCATTAGAATTTCAGGCCCGTTCCTGGAGTGTCTGGCGCCTACGTGCAGCATTCTTTGGTGCGCCCCTTTTATATTTAAATATAATACATTAAATATTTTAATTTTAAGCCTCAATTTAAAAAATATATATTTTGCGACAAACGAATATTTATTAAGTTACTAAAACAAAATTATAAAAAATATTTAGTAATAAAAATACCCTAGAGAAAAGAAAAAAAACTACATAAACAATATAATAACTACAACTGGTTTTTAGTGGCGTAAGCCCATTACAAAGTCATGCACTGTGTAGACTACTGCTACCGTCAACTATCAAACGAATACTAAAAATATTATGACAATTTGATACACATAAAAAAAATAAAACCGCCAAAATCAAAGCGGCAAAAGAGGCTTATAGCGGCCGAAAGAAAGACCGGCATGGGGCCTTAATGCGGCCGACGCAAAGAAAGGCGGTAAACTTTATTCTATGTATGTATTTGTTTATTTGCAAGAAAGTTTATCGTTACAAAGTACTGATTGACCCTTTGATTTTGCGCCCCCAAAATATTGCGCCTGCGTGCGTGCACGCACTGTACGCTCGCCAGGATCGGTTAGAAATTCTAACTGTGACTGTTTCCTTTTCGTAGGGGAAGCAGTGTTGCCAGATGGATAAAATAAATCCCTATCCAGTGATGTAAAAATTTCCTATAATTCCCTATTGCTATTATAAATTTCCCTATTCATTTCCCTATGCTAGAGTCCCTATATTTTTTGACATTTTTTGTCAAAAATATACAAGGTCTCTATCATGGTATCTACCCTATGCTAGTTAAGAGTTTCAAAGAGCGATTTATAAACTAAACTAATTTAACTTTTTGTCAGATTTTTAAAAGTAGGGTGGTGAAAACAAAGTTTTTTGATGAAATCCCTAATAATACATTAACTCTTTAATCAAGGAAAACAACTAAAACTATTAAATTTGCTCGCGCCATTTATTGGTAAATCGCTAATTGTAACCGAACGGCACTCCAACTATTATTAGACTAATACTAGTTAATAATAATATTAGAAATAATTTATTAAACGCACGCAACAATAGTTGTAAAAGAAATCAACCAAAATTAAAATATTTATTTAGTTTATAACATGACTTTTAATTAAAACTTTATACCTATCCTGTAAAAGTATTTGTCTAGGTATAACGAAAATTCCCTATAAATTAATAATAATTTCCTTTTTCCCTAGTCTCCAAAAAAATTCCAATAAATAGGGAAAAATTCCCTAATCTGGCAACACTGAGGGGAAGTGAGAATCACACGGGAGATTGTATTGAGGCGCATGCGTGGCGTCATTACCGGTTTAAAAAAAAATACCATATTTTTGCGCCTATTTGGAAAGTATAATAAATACTTTTTATTAAATTGTAGGTATATACATTGAATGAAAAAAAAAAACATTTAACAATAATAAACACACAAAATGATGATATTTTAGATTTTATAATGGCATGTTTAAAACAGCAGGAATTTGGCAACGTCGTCTTTCTACAACAGCCAAATGGTTTTTATCACAGACATACTAATTTATAGATGGTTTTTATAATTGACCATTTTGTTTGTTTTCTGTTGTATACCAATTGTTTTGTCATTATTTTTTTCATTGTGCCAAACAAAGAAATTTATGTAAGCTTAACCCGATGTAAGCAAATTATTTAAAAAAAAAATTGATTTAACCTAAATTTTATTTAGTTGACGATTCGTATCATAAGTGGGCGTATTACTATGTCTATGGTATATACAGTGTGTCCGTAAAGTCCCGGAACATGAGATTATTTTAAAAACAGTAAATTTTTTTAAAAAACGCCGAAACACGTCAACTTTGTTATTTTTCTAGCAATATTTTGGCATATGTAGTTGTTCCAAATTCTGCCGCGTGGCGGCGCCACAATCGAAGTCAGTTTTTTTTTAATTGCAACCCTTTATTTTTGTTGCATTTTTGGATAACTACCGTTGTCGTGATTACATTGATGTGCCACATCTGGAGGGTTACATAAGAAAATTTTTGAGAAAAGCAGGTTTGTTGCCGACGAATGAGATTTTGTTATTTTGTCAAACTTAAACACAATCTATGCGATGCTTAATGTTTTTTGGAAAACCAATCAGAGCAGTTACTTTGGTGTGCACCGTAAACTATTTGGCAGTGGGCCAGCCTGTCTACAAACGAGCGTTGTACGTTTGCCAGTACCGCTGGAGAGATCATCTGGATCTCGGCTTGAATGCGGTGTCTTAGGTCGTCCAAATTTTAAGGCCTGTTTACATAGACGCGGTTTTTAAGATGTCCCCATAAAAAGAAGTCTAAATGGTTCAAATCGGGCGATCGCACTGGCCACTCAATTTGACCCCTTCGACCTATCCAGCGATTGAGAAAGACCTGATTTAAATAATCCCTTACTAGCAATGCATAGTGTGGTGGTGCCCAGTAACAGCGAATAAGTTCGTCAAAACCAAAATCTCAATCAGCGGCAAAAACCTACTTTTCTCAAAAATTTTAGCATATCAATGTACTCAGGACAGCGCACTGTGGGCCCTATGCCCAAACTAGGTTGCAATAAGTCATTATTGAAAATGTATAATTTCCAACTATTGTTTTATTAAAAACATATTCAAACTTGTAAAAACATAATTGCTTTTTGAAAATACTCTACGAAGACTTTTTTATAAATGCCCAATATCAGATCTTTAAAAGAAAGTCTATTTTTAATGCAATCGTTTTAATTAAAACTACGATTTTTGCGAATTTTTTTATAGCTTAGAGGGCCGTGAAAAGCAAAAGTCGCCTTAAACATTTCATAACTGACATTAGACCTGTCAATTAGTTGTGTTGGGTACATAAAATTATAGAAAATTCGTGTTTTTTTTTTGTTTTTGGCAGGAACTGTTAAGGTAATTACCATGAATATTTAATTTTTTAAGTTTTGCAGAGTAAAAAAATAGGAAGGCCAACGAATGCCAAGCCAAAATATATATTTTTTATTAGACAAAGATGTAGACTACTAAAAACTGTTAACCAAAAAAATCGCAAAAAATCGCGAAACTTATCCCAGTCAAAAATGTAAACCTCTGAGAAAAGAAAATATTAACAATTAATATGCATCTTAAGTTGTTTATCGCACGTATTGCTCTGGCAATGAGCAAATTATATACATGGCGTTTAATATTTGTTAAAAGTGTTTACGCCTACTTATTCTTTTTATCCGTTTTTAATATTACATCAAGGTGGCCTAGATGCATTGTTAAAAATTGCTCAAAAGGCATTAAAAAATCACATTTAAGTCCAAAATTATGTTAAGAATCCAAAAATGTAAATATATAGGGGTTTCTATTTAATTTTTTGAACAAGGACCCATTTCCGGTGAAACCGGAAGTGACCGAAAAAATATGCGAAAACCCTCCTCTTTATACACCATTTGACTATTACCAACACTCTGTAGGTATTTCACTTTTTATCTGCTAAACGAAGCAAAAAAGGAATCTCTAGATTTATAATGTTCAATAATTTTCGGGATAAAACATAAAACTATCGCTATATATCGATAGTAGGTAGGTATGCAGACATTACAAAATATTTTTTTGGGCTACACCGCTCATCCAACTTTTACAAGAGACAAAACAGTTTTTTGGTAACCATTACAACAGTAAAAAAAATACAAGCGAAAATTAATACCTAACCTTGCTTTTCTGATTATTCTAATTTTTAAAGATAACTGAGTGTAGCACCAAACGACGTTAATTGGCAGTTAAAACTTATATTCCAAAAATATTCATTCATTAATACGTTTTTAATTATCTTAAGATTTTTAAAAAAATAGTTAAAACTTTAAAGGCCTCTAACGACTAAACGAAGCAACTTAGTATATAGGTAATTTGGGTTAAATCGACTTATTTTGATCCGTAGATAACGTTGGCATGGTTTCTTACACTATTTGAAGATAATCCTGTATTTTATAAATTAATTTCCAAAAATACTAACGTGGCAACATTGGAAAATGAAAAAATAAATTATATAATTAATTACCAGCATTGGTTAGTCTCAAAGTTTAATTATTTTTAAAGTTTTAAGTAAATAGAAAAAAAATTGAATTAATGCAACCTAGTTTGGACATTGGGCCCACAGTGCAGCGGTAGCTATCCAAAAATGCAACAAAAATAAAGGGTTGTAATTTAAAAAAAACCTTACTTCGATTGGGGCGCCGCCACGCGTCAGATTTTGGAACAACTACATAGGCTAAAATATTGCTAGAAAAATAACAAAGTTGACGTGTTTCAGCGTTTTTTTTAAAATTACCGGTTTCAAAATAATCACATGTTCCGGGACTTTACGGACACACTGTATTTTAAATCCCCCACTTATGAACTGAATATGCGCATAAGGTAAAATGATACGGCAACAGGGTTCCCTCTTTTAAAACCATTTAAAATTCCCTGACTATTCCAGGTTTTCAAGGATTTCCAGGTGAGAGGGAACCCTGGGCAAATCGACAAATGTTTCCTCATAGTCCGGGAGGCAGTGAAGATTTTCGGTACTTATTTTCCCAGTCGGCAAACACCGATACAATTATTGGGTTTGTTATTCTGAGCAAAATTTATATATATTTAGGGGGGGGTTTTCCGATGGGTTAAGGCGGAAAATGCGTTATAAAGTACACATATATTGCACTTTTTTTCCAGTGATAAAAATAATTCCATTAGTGAGAAATATAGTGAACTTAAAAAAAAAAAGTCTGGCTAATCTGTGAGTATGTGTAATATGTCTGGCAGGTGGAAAAATTATCAAAACTATTGCCCTTATTTTCGCAGTCCTAAAAATTTTGTGAGAAATGATGATGGTTAATATTATAATTACAGCTGCAAATATAGTCTGGCTAATGTGGAACACTCCGAAAGCCTTGCCTGACTCGTCCAACCGGGACGCAGTGAAGATTTTCGGTACTTATTTCCCCAGTCGGCAAACACCGATACAATTATTGGGTTTGTTATTCTGAGCAAAATTTATATATATTTAGGGGGGTTTTCCGATGGGTTAAGGCGGAAAATGCGTTATAAAGTACAAATATATTGCACTTTTTTTTCCAGTGATAAAAATAATTCCATTAGTGAGAGATATAGTGAACTTATGAAAAAAAATAGTCTGGCTAAACTGTAAGTATGGGTAATATGTCTGGCAGGTGGAAAAATTATCAAAACCATTGCCCTTATTTTCGCAGTCTGGCGGGGCTTTCGTGATTGTAAATAACAGCCAGACGTGTATTTTCTACGAAATTATAGTATTATTTATCATGTGACAAATTTTCAAATCCGGGAAAATAAGAGCAAAATTTTTGTAATTCTTACGATTTTCAAGATGCCGCCAGAACAATTTGCCAATTTCATAAATCAGCCAGACTTAATTTTGATTATAGTTTATGACAGTACCAAATAATGGGTTAAATTTTAAGCATGGGAAAATAAGGGCTACGTATTTCAAAATTCGGTCAAATTTTTGCTTCCGCAATTTTTCAGTCAGACTGACTTTCCTTCACTTGGGATGTGCCAGACTGTTATTTCCATTAATAAAATGACTCACTTTAATTAATGTGAAATATTTATGACTGGGAAAATAAGTGGACTTGACTTTTTGGCTCATCTAGTGAACCCATCCGAAAATTTTAGCCAGACCCAAATTGTCGTTTTGTGTCACCATTTGAACAAACTTAATGACATTCACAAACTGGGAAAATAAGAAGATAAAAATCTTCACTGCCTCCCGGACTATCAAAAAAGGAAACAAGGGCATCTATACAAAATATAGCGAATTAGCTGTACTATATGTGTGGAAGTTTATAGTAAATTTAAATATTATTTAGTGGATTAATCCACTAAATAATATTGTTTTACTAATATATTTACTCGGCATTTTATTAAATTAAACATGATGATGTGAATGTTGATACACAAATGAGCAAAATGCTTGAGAAAATACGGCGTGGGGTAAAATGCGAAAAATCTAAGGGGTGCGTGCGGGTTATTTATTTCAATGTTTTAAGACTATTTATTTAAGAACTTTTTAATGAGGTTTTAATAATGAAAAGTATACCTACAAACAATTATTTTTTTAAATGATGATACAAGAGTTTTGTTTCTTTTTAACAAAAATATTACAAAATACCCTTATTTGATAAGTTTTCATGACATCCACATTTAGATGTTTTATATTTTCAGCAACTTTAATCAAAAAGGTATATTTTTGAAGCATAAAAACTATAATTATAATTTAACTAAAATTACCCATACAATTTAATTTAATGATGACATAATAATATAATAATAGACTGTTAAAATTTAAGTACCTACCTAACTTAAGTAAGAAAATATATATTAGAAAAATACTTACATCCTTGGATATTTCCACTAAAATTGGCAACTTATCCTTAAAAGTACAAAACTTTACTTCAGCCTGGTCTTGAGTATCGGCCCTAAACAAACTAAAACCAATTTTGCCCACAAATAAACCATAATCTTAAAGTTATTATGAATTATACCTGTATGTTTGGTGTATTGTCTCAGTAGTAGGTCTATGCAAAACTATTTCATAAACACTTTTATCCTTTTTTCCTTCAATTTCAGGGGGTAAATAAACAACAAGGGCATCTTCTCGATAAAGTATTTTTCTTGATGAAAACCCATCGGATTTTACTTCAGTTACCTTATTAGGTGGTGCTTCTACGCTAAGGAAGTTTCTTAAAACTAAAACACAATAGGAACATGTACAAAATAACATTTAAATCAAGTTTTTAAATTTTAAAAAAGCAATCAAATACTTATACTTGGATTATTTACCGTTAAACATGATGACAATTTTAAATTTTCTTAATAACTACTTGTTTGGAACCAATAATCACAGTAGGAAAAATTATCTTTGCATAATTATTGCACTTTTTGAAGAAGTATTAAAACATTGAAAATTACATAGAAAACACCTGTCAAACCTGGTACCAAAGTATATTTTCAAGAACATCACTTGCGCCATGTGGGTGCGCAAATAAAAATTTAGATTTTAAATTCTTTAAAAGCAATAGCTATTTAGGTTAAATTAAAATTTTAAAGTTCATAATATTTTTAAAAACAAACTAAACTTGCTTTTGACTATTATATTTTAAGTTAAAATAAAAATTATTCTACACTTTTTGTAATCGTTGTTTTTTACAGAAAACTTTTATGTCAAAAGTGACAGTTCAGGTTCTTTTCTTGGCTAACGTCAGCCATTGAATTTTTGGTTAAGTTTTAAAAAACGTTTTACCGAATTGTTAATAGGTAGCTTTGGTAAAATGTATACCGACGATACTCAGGAGGTAAGGTTGATTAATATATTTTCATATATTGCTATGGATAACACCCTGTACAAGGTTACCAAATAATTGAAATATGTTGCTTGGCTGTCCATGTGTTGTCAAAATATCTTTATAATGGAAAGTAGTGAAGTATATTTTTACATACCCATATATTTTGCAGGACCTAGCCCCATATTTTCCTAATGAAATCATTATTATGTGACATTTTTTGTTTGCTTCAGTTAACTAGATTTTTAATTTTAGGGTTTCGATAACTATAACAGTTATGACGATTACTCAGCTCATACAGGAGATCCAACATTGGATGAATACAACAGGCAGCACTTTAAAATGCCTGAGCTGGTCAAGAGTTTCCTGGTTTATTTCAGAAATTGTGTGAGCGAAGGTTTAGTTTTTGAATTGCAAACTTTATATGAACAATCCTGGCCTAAACTAACAGAGGACTACTTCGAAAAGAGGCCATGGCCAGAAGAGGCTGAAGTAGCTGCCCTAGTTGACAGTGACCCTGTAAGTACTCACCTTCTGAACCCATATCTGACACATCTTTAAGTTTTTCTTTCACCTGATCTCCACAATCTTTGATTTCTTCCTTGATTCGGTCCCTCATTTCCTCACTTTTGTTTAGTAGCTTTGTTTTGTAATGCTCCATTTCAAATAGAAGTGCTGGCTTCAAGATGAGAAAAGAAAATGACCTAAATTAATTTGCTTTCTTATAAGGAAATATATTTTTGTATTGATTTAATATAAATTATTTATGATTAAATATTGATTTTTATATTAAGAGGTTTAAGAGATATTAAATTTAATATACTTGTGCTGAATTATTTAAAAAATAAATACATACCTACATTTAATTAAAATATTTCAATAAATACCATTGGAGGCATTTTGTTTAATTAGGAACAAGTAATTTACCCATTTTTTTATCTAATCATTAAGGTTCTTAAAGTAAAACGTAATATAAATTATTAAAAAATATTGATTTTTAAGCAATATTATATTAAATTTCAACTTTTATAGTAATTATTACTCTGCTAAATTATAATTTTATTTGGTAGTTATTATTAAATTTTAAAACTTAAATTAATTGGTTAATGCTTAATTACTTCATTTGTTTTTAAATTGTATTATTATTAATTAAAAAATGCCGCCTCTCTATTTTTAAAATATTTTTAATTAAGGTACCTATAAGGTAAAAACAATTGTATAAGGTAAGGAATGTTCTCTTTATTTATTTTTAACAATCAATAATTATTTGCTTATTGAGTAAATTTTCTTAACAATATCAAGGTTAATAATTTAAAGTTTTAATATTTTAACAAAACTATCATAAAACACATCTGTCAACCATGTCAATCTCAGCTGCTCTATTTAAATAATTTATTGTTTTCATAAAAATTTTAAATGTGCTTCTAGGCATAGCATTGCTAAAATAGTATATTATGTATCAAGTTTTATAAACGCCATTTTAATTCCGAGTTTTATTAGGCACGAGCAAAGCTTTTGTGCTAGTGTTTAATAAAAAGGAGTGTCTAGAGAAGTTTTTATAATGAGTTGCATACTATACTTTATCTACGACGCGACGAACACAAAGAAGAATTTAAAGCCAATTTTATTTGTTAAACATTTGACATCTGTCAAATGTCATCGGATTTAACCTCACTTTTTCCCAATTTATAATAAACCTAACTTCAGACCGTGACTAAAAAACCGTCATAAAGTCACAGCTTGTCAATGAAGGAGTAGATAAAATACCTATATTTTTTTGAGATACCTATTAAGCATGAAAGTTTTAATAACCAATAGTGATTGTTTTAGAAAGACACCATACAACAAATAATTTTACTAAAACTGCTGTCATGGTTTTCAGATGTAATTTATGACAAATTAAAATTAACTTAAATTTGTTATATTTAAAATACTGCTTTTGGATAAAACATTCAATGCTGAATATTAGACCAAACATTACATTAAATACACTTACTATTCTGATATTTTGATTTAAATCACAAATCACTTGTTTTTTAAATTAAACTGCAAATAAATAAAATAATGATTGTTAAGTCTCAAATTTTTGAGTTTTTGAGGGGATATGATATTATTTTCTATCACTTTTAAGAACAGTGGTGTATAATTTTAAATACAAAAACAAATATTTATTTTTATTACTCATTATTAGATTAAAAAGTATAACTGATATAAAAAGGTCAAGGTACTACTATATTGCATTTATGCATTCTATTTGTAGATTTTTGGAGTTTTGAAGAAACCTTTTAACATTTTTTAAATTTAACTTGATTTCCTTGAACAACCAAATATTTTTTTAGGTTTTTATGATTTTATACAAAGAACTGTACTATCGTCACATTTACGCAAAAATTCAAGGCGGGCCAACTCTAGAACAGAGATTCAACTCTTTCTACAATTACTGCGACCTTTTCAACTACATCCTTAGTGCTGAAGAGCCTGTACCTTTGGAGCTCCCTGACCTGTGGCTTTGGGAACTTATCGACGAATTCGTGTACCAGTTCCAATCGTTCGCCCAATACCGGGCCAGGTTGCAAAAGAAAACGCCGCAAGATTTGAAAACATTGAACTCCAACAACAAAGTATGGAATGTACTTTGCGTCCTCAACGTTTTACATTCCTTGGTGGACAAAAGTAACATAAGACAGCAGTTGGAAGTTTACGCCAGTGGTGGCGATCCAGATTCCGTATCTGGAGAGTTTGGTAGTCACTCTCTCTACAAGATGTTAGGGTATTTCTCCCTTGTTGGCCTTCTAAGGTTGCACTCCCTTTTGGGAGATTACTACCAGGCCATTAAAGTTTTGGAAAACATTGAGGTTCATAAAAAATCGCAATATGCCCACATCCCAGCCTGTCAAATTTCCACTTCTTATTATGTTGGATTCGCGTATATGATGATGAGGAGGTATTCGGACGCGATAAGGACTTTCTCGTCTATTCTGTTGTACATTCAACGCACAAAACAACTGTTCGCGTCTAAAACGTACCAACACGACCAAATTAACAAGCAAACCGACCAGATGTATCATTTGCTTGCCATTTGTTTGGTTTTGCACCCTCAATGCGTGGACGAGTCAATTCAACAGACTCTGCGCGAGAAGAGTTACCACGAAAAAATGTACAAGATGCAAATGGGCGATTTACAGGAGTTCGAAAACAGCTTTGTTTATGCTTGTCCCAAATTTTTGTCCCCATGCTCTCCTGAAATTGACTGCCTCCCTGATGATTATTCTAAAGAGGCCATCCAACATCAAACCGCAGTGTTCATGGACGAAGTGGCGCAACAAAAGATGCTGCCAACTATTAGAAGTTACTTAAAATTGTACACCACTTTGCCTTTGAGCAAACTTGCCAACTTTATGGCACAAAATAACAGGAACAATGATGGTAAATGGGATTTGGACAAGGAAACACAAAACTTGATGATCCATTTGCTTTGTTTCAAGCACAAGATGAAAAATGTTGTCTGGTCTAAAGGCTCTTCTGGGCTGGAAGGAAAGTTTCAAAGTGGATCAGAGGTAAATTTTATATATATTTTATAAATTGTAAAACAAAGTTATTTTATTTTTAGTTGGACTTCTACATTGATAATGACATGATCCACATTGCTGATACCAAAGTGGCCCACAGGTATGGAGACTTCTTCATTAGGAAGATTCTTAAATTTGAGGATTTGAACAGAAAGTTAAGAATGCTTAAAATCTAAATTCAATGTATTTAATTTAAATCGGTTTTATATTTTCAAACAATAAACAAGTTCTCCTAAAAATAGTTTTATTTAATTTATTATAATCACAGGTTTACTCTTTATGTTTGGGAGATGTTTTAACTTTAAACATAGAATTGTGTTTAGGCTTAAATCTAGCTGTATCTTTAGTCTTAAAATACTTTTCATTCCCTACAGTTTTCTGTCTGTATTGTTGCCAGGGATGGGCTTCTTCATTTTTATCAATTTGAATTTCATTTAGCCAATTCTTGTACCTTTTCTTAAATATTGTGTATTGACGTTCTTGTGCTTTTGTAAGTGTCTAAAAAAATAATTAAAATAACAGGTTTAAAAAAAAATAATAATTTACCTGAGTATTTGATTTTTCCTTGCAAAAGTTGTAAAATTTATTAAGATGCTGCAAGAACTGTTTATTAATGCTAACATTTTCCCTTAAAGCTGTTTCCATTATTTCAAACACATATTGGTAGTTAAAAATGTAACATGCTTGATGTAACATTGCCCCAAGTATTTCAGAATTTAATCTAAAATAAATCTTTTTAGTATTACAAAATTTAAGTACTTTAAATAGCAGTAATTTACCTAAAACCAGCATCCTTTATAGTCATAATTAACTCAACAGCTTCTTCTCTGGTTTGACATCCAATGGCTAAAACCCCATAGGTAACCAAATCAGGATAATAATTTATCCTATCAATTAATTTCAAAACATCCTTAGCTCCAGCATAATCACACCTCATGCTCCTTTTTTTAATAAGCATATTATAAAAATCAATATCAGGTTTAACTTTCATCTTTTTTATGACTGCAAGCAACTCATTTTCAGCTGAAAGAGTTCCTGGAATTGCCAATAGAAGTTGGGTAAAGGTTTTTAAATCTGGACTGCATTTGTGGTCTTCCATACTTTTGATGAAACCTGGAAAACCACCCACTAAAAGTAGCCTGTCTTCTGGTTTTAAAACTTCAGAAAGTGAGATAATATTTCCCAAATATGGCGTATTAGCCATTAAATTAGGCCTAAGTGATGTTTCTTTATGTGCTGGTAATTTATTTGTGTTGTCCACTACTTGAACAGTAAGTTGTTCATTTGATTTTTCATTGATATTTGTATTTAGAAGAGGTATGGTTTCTTTATCTTCAATTTGTCTGACTGAATTCATCTTACTTTCACCTTCAGAAACGATTTTCTTAATAACATCAGTTGTAGTCTCTAAATCTCCCAATCCACAATCTTTTATGCTTCTAAGCATCAAATTGTATGTGTAAATATCAGGTTTAATCCTTTTATTTACCAATTTTCTCCAAACCAATAAAGCATGTCTAAAACCTGCCTCCTTGTCAGTTATGCATGCTTGTATAAGAAAATTTATAGTGTCAATTTTTATGGGCATTTGCTTAGTTATCATTTCATCCACCAAATTAAAAGCAGTTGGTATATCTCCACATCTTCCAAATGCTTTAATCATGGCATTGTAGTTAGTGTCGTTTGGGTTGTATTGTTTTTCAATCATAATTTCTTGTAAATGTTTAGCTCTTGACAGGCCATCTGTTTGAGGCCAAGGGCTGTTAGCACATGCATTAAACAGAGCAGTGTATGTGCCTTCGGTAACTTTTAAACCCCTTTTTTTCATGTCATTGTACAAGTGAAATGCTTTTTTTGTATAACCAACTCTACCACATCCCCCTAAAACAAATAATATGTGAACCACTAAATTTTTACTAAATTTTGTAAAAAACCTATAGTTATTTACCAAAGTTACCTTATATAACTGTTGCAGGTATTATAATAGCAGACAAATTTTTTTTTTTTAAAACAATTTTGTAAAAATAAATAAATGATTACCTATAGGTAATATATTATTCATTAAAAATTTTCAACTAATAAATAATTAAATATTTTAAACGTACCTAACAATAAATTGTAAATATAACTTTCTGGTTTGACCTTATCTTCCTTTAACATTTTTACTTCCAAGACATCAAGTGCTTCTTTGATTTTCCTTTTTCTTAAGTGCCCTTTTATTAAGTCTGCATATTGTTTTGTACTTAATCGTTTGCTGGGATGAACCTGTTCGGTAAAATGTTTCTCTTCAGCAATATCACCTTCATCCAATATTTTTTCTTCCAGTCTTCCGCCAAATATATCCGGATCATTTTTTAATTGCGCCACAAATTCTTTCTCGCTTAAATTTGTTACGTTTTTGTTAGCGAGGTTATGATTTAACCGGGCGTGTTTTAATTTTGAATATGATAAATCTTGAGTTAAGGCTGATTTTACTGCGACATAATTTAACTTGTTTTCAAATAAATGTCGCGTTTTTATTAAATTTTGAAAAAACCTTAACCTATACATGCTTAAATGTCACATTTGTTTCTATCTTCATGTATATATTTCTTCTGCAGCAAACTTCATTGTTTACAGGACTGTAATGATTTTATTTACGATATAAGTTCTAAAAAAGCATTTTTATTTGATTGCGTTGAAATTTAAACACTATAAATGAGGCTACAAATTGTATAAAATTCATTAAAATCGAAAATTATTCGCGTAGGTTTTTGTGTTTTAAAAATATTCAAATTTCGATTAAAAAAACATTTTTATTTTGTTAAAAACATAATTTTATAAATGCTTGAAAGCAGATAAAATACAAAAGATTAAAATATAGTTTTATAAAAGATCATGATCTTTAAATTTCTGCTTTCCATATTTATATTTAATATTTTTTAAATATTAAAAGTATTTGTATCTTGTATTTTTAAACTGTATCTTAAATAATAAAAAACGTATCTTAGATACTTTAAAGCATTTTTTCCAATCCCACCTTTAAAACGCCCTTTATCGTACATGTTTCCATGACACTAAGTGACCTTTTAAATACACATTGACAAGTTGTGGCTTTATGGCGCTTTAGTCACGGGCTGAAGTTAGTTTTAAGTTAGTTGACAGTTGTCAAATGTCACACAATCGTTAAAATAAAGTGCCTTTCTTGTAAAATAATACTAAATGTGAAAATTATTTTATTATCTCAATACAAAAATACAAAAGTATTAAATAGTTTCTCAACGCCAATATTTGAAAAGTTTATATGAACATTGTACCTACTGACCTTTTAATTTCGCCGGCAGTAAACTATAACTTAAATTCAAGGACTTTACAGTGGTCTGCGGACTCCACTGTAAAGTCCTCATAAAACATTTTCTTTACTTTCACTGTGAAAAACTGTAAATTTTTAAGAAAAACATTTCGATTTATAACCTTTATAATCTGTGTTTATAAAAATTTGACATTTGACGGTGACACACAGATTCCCCTATTGTTTCATAGATGGCGCTCTATATAAATTTTTGATTTTAATCATTTTAAGATAATATTAAGTATTTGTCGTAGAAAAATATAGTATGCACCTCGTTTATAAACTTTTCTATACACTCATTAATTTAAGCACTCGCTCGTGTCTAAATTAAATTCGTGTATAAAATGGCGTTTATCAAACTTGATACATATCTATAGATACTATAGATACTATGGTATTTAAATACTTACTATACTATACTAACTATATTATTTAAATACTTTTGGAAAGTATCTTTTCCAGCTCTGCCGTTAACTGTTATAACATTTTCAAAATTAATTAATTTAATTTTAATTAAATCTACACTTTTAAGTGGATGATCAAATATGGCGAATAATGTTATAATTAAAAAAAAGTAAATTAGGTTTATAGCCAAAAAAATTAAACTCCATGGTTTTAATTACAAATGTTACATAATTGTAAACGCCGTGTTAGTATGACCTAATGTATAGTTATAATTTGTATCTGTCACCCCGGTGCATTCGCCATTTTTGAAAGCCTGATTTATAGATTTTATTTCCACCTTCTTAGTAAATGACATTCTATAGGTTAATTTTGTTGTTTTTGTATCCAAGTAAAAGATACATTATGGGAACAGACCTGTAATATTTTACGGGCTTGTATAAAAGACCTGTAAAGTTTTACAGGCTTGTAGAAAAGCAATTTATGAAATGAAATGTCACATTTGACATATTAATTAAAATTTTAAAATCTTTATCTAAAGGTGAAAATAAAAGTTTGTACGTGTCACGCTTTGCAATTAATCTTTACTAGACTCACTGTATTATGGGGTTCGCTCCTGCGTCGCTCACCCCACAAACTTTCAGCTCGCCCGTAAAGATTCATTTACAAAGCTTGACACGTAAATAACTATTATTCCTTCCTTCCTTCCTTCCTCCCGTAAAAATGATCAATACGAAAATCGTAGTGCCATTTATAGATTCCCGTACGGAATCTATAAATTAGGCTATAGTGTTAACACTATAGCCTAATTTATAGACTCCGTACGGGATTCTATAAATAGGCAAATAGGTAATAATTATTACCTATTTGCCTACGCTAATCATAACTTTAGGTGCAATTGAATAAAATCCGTTTTGAGTAGAATGATTTTATTTGAGCCTGATTATATTTTACCTATTTTAAATAAATTTTTATTTTCAAGAGAAATGGACCTACTTTTGGATTTTACCACCTAAACTAGTGTAATTTTGCCTATTTCACCTAAATTCTTATTTTTGACAAAATTTAAATGAACCAAATTTCCATCAAAAACATGCTTCTTTGAATATTGGGTTTGTCGTATTCGGATGACATAATTCTTAAGTACAACATTCAATGTTCATTGTACAATTCTTGAAAAACATTGTACAATGTTGTTATTTTTGCTGTACAGGATTGGTAATGTGGATCGGCTGTGCTTGGTACTGGTACACGCGAGTGTGACATTTAAATGTACAGTGTTTTTTCCAAACAATCTCATGTTATCATGTTTTATTTAAAAATTGTATTTTCACAAATTCAAGCAAATGTGTGCTTTTTTATGAGAAAGTATTTCTTAAAACATTTCTATCATAATTAATGTGAATTTGTTATTTTTAGAAAGAGTATGCTTATTAACAAAACATTTTAAATATGCTGCCACATTAAAAAATTCTAAAATTTTCAATATATATTCGTCAGCTATTTTCAAATCATAAGAATCTTGTTCAATACAATTTTATACAATAATAAATTAATTATTTTACCACCTATAAAAGTACTTATTTTCGTAAAATACTTACCTACAATAATAAATAATTTAAAAAATTTCTCATCTAAAACAAGAAAAAACTTCACCTATTTAGGTACCTACTTTTATAAATTTAGCAACCTAAAATCCCATCTCTAGTAATAAAGTTAAATTAATTAAAAATGTTTTTTAAAATTATTATTATACCAATAATGTATTATCCAGATGTGCCATGCCGTAACATACGTTACAAATCTTGTTCATAATTCCATACTGCCAATAATTAAAAACATTACAATTACATTAATTATTATCTTATTGCAAAGAGCGAAAGACCTTTTATACTTGAGAAATTAAAGTTTTATAAAATTCGAATACATATGTACAGTGTTGGCCATAATTTTTGCAACAACTGTAAAAGAAATCTAACTCTAAAACGCTTTTATTATTCTTTATGAAATTTTGGATAAAAATACTTATATCTCAGTTTACGTGTTCGAGGGTTTTTCGAGAAAATATTTTTAAAGCCCTTTTATTTAATAATAAAAAAACGTTCGACAAAAAACTTTTGGGATAATTTTTTTTAATTAAATAAAAAATATGTTATTAAAGACCGTATTTTTGTTAGTATACCCTGAAAATTTTGTACAAATCAAATGAATAGCTACGAAGCGATTCAAAGTCGTCAAAAATGACCACTTTTCAGCAAAATAATCAAAAAGGGGCCATTTTTACCGACTTTGAAGCGCTGTATCTTCGTTACTGTTCGTTTAATTTGTACAAAATTTTCTAGGTATACTAACAAAAATACGGTCTTTAACAGCATATTTTTTATTTACTTAAAAAAAATACCCTAAAAGTTATTTTTAAAACGTTTTTTTATTATTAAATAAAAGGGGAAAATATTTTCTCGAAAAACTCTAGAACACGTAAACTGAGATATAAGCAGCATTTAATTTTTAAATAACTACAAATTTACTACTGTTAACTTTAAACTATTTTTTACGGTTAACCAAAACGGTTTAATAACGGTATAGATAACACAAATTACCAAATTTAGGAAATGATTTATTTCGTTATTTTACCTACATAAAAACCTTTTTGATCTACTAAGTGAATAACGTAATAAAAACAATATAAACACCACAAATTTACGTAAAAATAACGCTATAATTACTAACTGTGTGCTCTCTCTTTCTAAAACATTGACATTCGTAATTTTTTTGTTCTTTAAATATATATTTTACAAAATGGTACTTACTAGTAATAATTATTTAAAGGCCACCCTAGAGTAAAATTAAAAAATATAACTTAATTAAATTGTCAAAACTAATAATATTTTGCATTAAAACTCAAACGCACATTATTTTATTGATAATTATAATTATATGCCCTCTAAATATTTTACGGTTTTAAGAAAAATTATTGCTTGGGTAAAAATTCAACAAAACTTAAAACCTACAAAGTTATATAAAATATTTTAAAAATCATTTAGTTTGAATCATTTTTTAGTAACTAAAACTTTCCTTATTATATTTTAGAAAAATATTATATAAATGTTTACATAAGTAATGGATGCAATCTTAAAAAACTCGTTATGGCGACCTAAAAAAAAATCCCTTAAAGTTTTATTTTTCACTTTAAGCTTATTTTTCCTTGTTTAGTCAATATTAATGGTATTTATTACCACTAATAACCCTAAATATACCAGGCGAATGGGAATTATTTACGGTTATAAAGTGGTCTTAATATCGTAAAATTATGACTTATGACTAACATTTACCATTAAGTAAAAATTCTGACGTTAAAATTACCGTTAAATTTTACTTTAGATGAAACACTTATTAGAAATTTTCTTTTGTAAAAATTACGTCCCTCATAATACCTTAAAGTGTGTTGAAACTTAAGGGACCCTTAATAGACCCTTAGACCCTTAATAAGGGTTATTAAAATAGGTGAAAATAACAAACTTGTCTGGGGCCACATAAAATTTTAAAGCCCCCTAAAGGACCCTCCTGAAAATGGCGGAGGTACTAGGTTTTCAAGTAATTTAATTTTGTTATTATAATGTTTTGATTATTTTAATTTTTTGACACTATTTATTTATATAAAAGCATAGAAAACAATTTCCAAGGATATTGCATAGATAAACAATTACTTATTATTATATTAGTTTATTAATAAAACACAGACTTACCGTGTTATTTAAACAAAAATAACCTATAGAAAAATTTGTTTTTTATACCGTTGGTTCGGGACAATCTGTTTAAAAACAA